GGGGGTGTGCTTATCGCTGTTCGCAGAGAATTGGTTGCCGAGGAACGCAATGACTGGTGTTCGTCCGCCGAGGACATTTGGGTAACCCTAGTGCTTAAGCGCTCTCAACCTAAAGTCTCCTACAAAATACATATTTGTACAGCATATATTTGTAAAAACAATCTTGGTAATTCATTGCAAACACAATTATCATGTTTTTACTCTAAATTAAACGACATCGTATTAAATAATTTAACGGATGCTTTTGTTATTGTAGGCGATTTTAATTTACCCAATGTAGAATGGAGTTTGTCGGGGGATGGGCATTCGTTGGATCCTAGTAACATTCAAGGATTGATTCAAGCGGAGTTTTTTGATATTTTAAATACGGGTAATTTTCTCCAGTATAACTCTCACAAAAATACAAATGATAGAATATTGGATCTGGTTCTCAGCAACAATTACCTTGATGTCGCTAAATGTTCTGAACCATTAGTTTCTGAGGACCCACATCACGTATCTCTCTGTATAAACTTTGATTTCGTTGAATATCATAATATGTTACCTACTCAACCAAGACTTAAATTTTTGTTTGATTTAGCTAACTATGAAATAATATCGAAAGAACTCGACACTTTTGACTGGAATAATGATCTTGTTCAAGGGACAGTGGAGGATGCTACGTCACTTTTTTACTCTAGATTAGACAAATTATGCAGCTTACATGTACCTGTAAAAATGATTAAGCCTAGTTCTAAGTATCCTATTTGGTATAAGTCACCTCTTATTAAAATATTAAAAGAAAAATTTAAGTACCATAGAAAGTTTAAAAAATATGGAAATAGATGTGATTACGATTCATTTTCTGCGTTAAGAGATCGAGGAAAAATACTGGAGAGGGAAATGTTTGCTGATTATATTGACACCATAGAAAGTAATATAAAAAAATCTCCTAAGTCTTTTTGGTCTTTTGTAAAAACTAAGCAGGGTTCTAACGCTTATCCATCTAACATGTCATATGGACAGTGTGCCTCAAGTGACAGTAATATGATTTGTAATATGTTTAGTGACTATTTTTATTGTAATTTCCTCCAAACTCCTAGTAATAATAGCATTGGCCTTGATTCAGATATTTTGAACAGATGTCAGTCCTCTTCTGATATCGGTTCTATAGAAATTCTTCAATCTAATCTGTATACTTTATTAAAAAAATTAGACTTAAATAAATCTGCTGGCCCGGATGGAATTCCACCTATGTTTATAGTACGTTGTAGTATAAGTTTGTCATTGCCCTTATCTATATTGTATACTCGATCTCTAAATGAAGGAGTGGTTCCTGTTATCTGGAAAAATGCGTTTGTTACACCCATACATAAAAAGGGTCCCAAGCATCAAATTGAGAACTATAGGCCCATATCTAAGCTCTGCTTATTTGCGAAAGTCCTAGAAAAAATAGTTCACACTCAACTTTACCACGCTCTTCAACACTCGTTTAGTGAGGGTCAACATGGCTTTATGAAGAATAGGTCCACTGTATCTAACCTCTTGGTCTGTTCAGAGTATTTATCGGATATAATGTCACGTCCTTCCCAAGTCGATTCAATCTATACGGACTATAGTAAAGCCTTCGACAGAATAGATCACATTATCCTTTTACGTAAATTATTAACGATAGGCATTAGGGGTAATTTGTTTAGATGGTTTCAGTCTTACATAGATAACCGATGTCAAACGGTGGTACTCAATGGGTGTAAGTCAGTCCCGGTTAAAATACCTTCAGGCATTCCGCAAGGATCTCTTTTAGGTCCATTATTGTTCACCATATTTATCAATGATATAGGTTCTTGCTTTACTCATTCTAAAATAATCCTCTATGCGGATGACATGAAAATTCTCTGTCCAATTTTTTCGGTTCAGGATTGTATGGGTCTTCAGGAGGATCTTGACAGCTTACAAAGTTACTGTGCAATCAATAGATTAGAACTTAACGTCGCCAAATGCTTTGTTAATACTTTCACACGTAAACCGAATCCTATTTACTTTAAATATAAATTAAATCATACCATTTTGCATCGTAAAACTTTTGTTACAGACCTTGGTGTAATTTTTGATTCTAAATTACTTTTTGATACACACATTGAGAATATAATAAATAAAGCTAACAAAGCACTTGGTTTTGTACTAAGACTGGCATCTGATTTTCGTGACATTAAAACTTTTAAAATATTGTATTGTTCTTATGTCCGCAGCCATTTAGAGTATGCCTCGCAAGTTTGGAACCCGAATTACAATATTTATATTGATAGGATTGAGCGCATTCAAAAACGTTTTTTACGATTTCTACAATTCAAAACACGTAAGTATGTATCCGGTTATAATGTGCGATGTAAGAAATTTCATATGCTACCTCTCTATAAACGCAGACAAATAGCTGATATTTTGTACCTTTCCAAGATAGCCAACAATATGGTTGACTGCCCCGATTTGTTGGGTAAAGTGGGTTTGGTAACGCACTGTAAGACTTTGCGTAAGCCTAGTCTGCTTTATGTCCCTTGTGTTAGGACAACCTACAGGCAAAATTCTTTTCTTATAAGAGCGAGTAGATCCTATAACAATCTGTCTGAGCAACATGATTTCGATCTATTTCATACCAGTGTTTCTCGTTTAAAATCTATATTGTCTAAAAGCTTCTTTGCTTAACATTTATCATTTAATATTGTTATTACTTTGTTTCTTTCCTTAAGATTTATCATTTATTATTATTTTAAGTACTTTTGTTTCGATCGTCTGCTGACTGCTGCTGTTTTTGAATATTAGTATTTAGTTATTAGTGGAAACTTTTAATTGGCCTTAAAAATTTTCATTGTTTTAAATTTATTCATTTGTTTAGCTGTAAGTTTTCCGAATATCTTAAAATAAAATAAAAAAAAAATAAAAAACTGTCATGATTATTCTAACAGAGAAAACTTAAGAACTAGTTTTTGTGCATAATGCGAAAACTGCTGGATGAATCTGAATGAAATTGTGTAGTAGGTGCAAAATTAACTGGTACCGCGGCCTCAGCCTGAAGCAGAAAAAGTAACAGGAGAGTTTTAGTCAATAAGAGTCTGACACTCCCTTTACCTCACATTGGGCGAAAGAAGTCATTTGATAATTTTTCCCTCATATAAAAAGGTACTTAACTAACTCTGCCTGTCTATCTTTTCTTCAGGCCTAAACTAATGAACCGATTTCTGTTTGACTGATGTTTGACCGATGACTGTTTGGTAAGTAGGTACAGACATAGTTTGGAACTCGAGAAAGGACATAGGATAGCTGTTTTACCAAAAATCTGCAGGAAATCACTATTCCACGCGAACGGAGTCGCGGGCAAAAATTAGTTTAACGGTAGTCAGTCTACATAAGTATACTAAGGCCTAAAATTAAATAACGGTTTATTTTGATTATGACTTTTTAAGAACTTAGCAAATTTTAAGAACAATAAGTACACCGGAAAATTATTTAATAAATTCCTCACAAAATAAATGATTTTGATAACATTATTACCTAGATGACATTCATTATTATGGCTGGCAGGAGCTGGATGCGAGTGGCCGAAGATCGATCCCAGTGGCGTGCAATAGGAGAGGCCTATGTCCAGCAGTGGACTGAAAAGGGCTGATGATGATGATGATGATGATGATTCATTATTAGTTGTACCTACCTACTTGTTTGACGCAATATAAAATTAATTACAGCTAGATTCCTTTTACAAAGAGCTTTCGGAAAAAAATTTGGTTATCGAGTTCAAAATATTAGCGCTTAGCGCACAATCAATTGAACTCCGTTTTTGGCAACACCATTCAACTAATCAATATAAAAAAACGATCTCGATAAAAATTTTAAATTGATATTAAGTACTTAATTATATTTGTTAAAGACTCAAAAGGAATGTATTTACCGTAATCGACTACTTAAGTACAATGACACTAATAAACCAGTTCGAAACATCCGATCAATATCTTATTTTTATAGTTAGAAGAATATTTAAAACGAAGACGCTAGCATATAGGTACTAAAGACCAAATCGTGATTTGACTAGATATTTAATAATAAATAATACGAGGATTCCAACTTACGATCTTACATTGTTGTAAGTAAAAGTAAAAGTAACGGGATCTAGGGCGTCTAACATAGAGACATGCAGTCACAAAAAATGTATCAAGCTAGTGCAGAATAAATCGCAAGGTATCGATACGGCAAACGTTAACAGGTATTCGAAATACTTAGGTATGTGTAAAGATCATTAAAATTAATATTATCTATTGATTAAGGCAGTAAGAAAAGTATTTCGAGCCCTGCCTTCGGCGCTGCGTGACTTGATTTAATAACAAGACGGAAATCTAAGATACTTATGTAGATAATATGACCAAGTCGTTCTTTTTTGTACTGCCTAATTCAAAATAATAATATTAAGATTAGGTAGGTACCTATATACTCGTAATCCAGCTATACTAGTTACAGAAATAATATCATAATACACGTTTAATTCGATTAAAAAAACAACTTTCGATTCTAAATTAAAAAATAAGTATTTGTAGTGACGAGAACTTATTTAGTTTTCTTTTTATTTTCTTCAACTACTCCCCAGTCTAGATAAATACTTCCCTTAGTCGTTAATTTTATTTAGTATTTTACTAATAAAAATATCAACGCGACGATCGTTAATATCTTTATGTGGTCTACTAGCTTGAACATAATAATATACTTTTTAAAGTCTGCAATTTAAAATTAAATTCAGCTACCTTTTTTCCTTTTTGTTATAAAAAAGCTAAAATTTAAAATATGTTTTTATATTTGCGGATTCACTTTTGGAATATTCATGGGCCGCGGTATGTTACTAGGAAAGCAAGCGACATTTGAAAAAAAACTTTGAGACACAAAATCAGTGTGGACTTAGAATCGTTTTAGTTTTATAAAATATTCAATAAACTTATCGTCAATAAAAGATCGTAAATACTAAAAACAATATGTATACGCACCTACGTAAAGATAACGTCCTCACTGCACCGCGACAGCTGGAACAGTGGCCGTCGAAGCGATTTCCCGCCAAACAAAGAAATGTTAACGCTTAACGAAACTTGTTTACACCGCTATAAATACTAAACTTATACTTATGCAGTGTTCATATTTATTATGTTTACTACCTAACTCGTTTGAAAAAGAAATAATTTTACTTGCATGTGTCACAGTAACACTTTTTCAGCTGTGTCGCGCGCTGCGCTACGCTACGGTACGAGTAGACTTTCAAATGATTTTATTAGTAAATTTCTAGAACACACTTAGTATGTTTTTTTAGAATAGGGATTGTATTAAGTTAATATTAAGCTTTTTCTCCGATAGATAAGTAGTCTAGTCGTTCTATTACCAAAACCAGCCTTCTTATAGGTTACGTCGATCAGCAAATATCAGGCACAATTTGTTTACTTTAGTTATTAGGAGCCACATTCGCTAATATTTTTTATGATTGCTTTACATGCTAAGAAAAACTCTAGACTTAGTACCTTTCCTGCGAATTTATAATTTTCTCCGACTGAAAATCAATTTCATGATATTTTTAGTTTGGATTTGTTGACAACAAAAAGAAGCTTTTTCTAACCAAAGAGTATATAAACACCAAGTTCTATTGACAACTCGCCAATTCAAGCAGTTTTCTTATTGCCAAGTTTTGAAAACGTAAATGTGTTAGCAAAAATACTTTGTTTCCTTGTTAATAAAAGTTGCAAATTTGACAGTTCCTTGCTTGCAGTTGTCAAATTTTGTTTTGACGGCTCGCTATCTTGTCGTGCGTGTTATCGCTTGACGCAGCTTGACGCTTGACTACTGTCAATTAGTTCGCGAAGTTTGGACAAAGTGAAAAATAGAGCACTAAAATAATGAATTAATAAACATGAAAATTGACATACTCACGCTTTAACTGATAATAAATAAAGTTGGTGTGTGTAAAAATGGATCCTGCACTACTTCGGGAACGTGAAGCTTTTAAAAAGAAGGCACTCGCTACGCCGAGGTACGTAACATGCTTGTGATGGTTACCATCATCTCGCGGACACTGCTCGCATCATGTCGTCACGTCAAACATGTACTTTCTCTCGCTCCCACATACCACTCCATCAACAAATCCAATTACCAATTTATATCTGTTATCTCCATAAAAACTTTTTCAGAATGATTGCTTACTTTATACTATGATTGGTTTTACAATACGTGACGAAAGTTTCATCTTGCGATATGCATATTTAGAACATTGTTTACTAAATCCCACAAACATTTTTGTATATACTTGTCTGATTTTATTTACATCTTTGTTTGTGTTGTGGTGCCTTCAAAGAAAATTTTTTTTTTCACAGTATAGAGAAGAAAAAACGAGATGACTCCCAATTCAAAGATGATAGCAAGAAGAAATCAAAATCATCATCAAGCTCGGTCAGCTCTGGGCCGAAGCTTGATGCTACAAAGTGAGTAACACAAGTATACATCATAATGGAACCTAAAGAAACTAAAAGAAACTAAAGAATTAACTTTTTTCTGAATAAAATTATATATTTTAGCAGTAACATCAATGTTCTACGGTTTTCAGCTACAAGACTATGTCAGGAACATCAGCATATAGGTTTGGTGTTCTTGCTCGTATTGTCAGACACATGAGGGCCCGACATCAAGAGGGAGATGATCATCCTTTGACTCTAGATGAAGTGCTCGATGAAACAAACCAATTGGATGTTGGCAGTAAAGTGAAACAGGTGTTTTTGCAGGCCTATTAAGAATTAATGAACTAAGAATGGAGCTAATTTGTTTATTATCTGTTGAATTCATTTCATCAAACCCCAAGAGAACACCAGCATAGGCGCACCTAATGCCTTACTATTGTGTCTCAAATAACCACAACTAAGAGGTTAAAATAGTCAATGTAGCCTAAAAATGACCATTATAAAACAACAATTTTTCATTGATCTGACTTAATAAATTGCTCCTTTCTTTTTTAGTGGCTACAAACAGAGGCTTTGCAAAATAATCCTAAAATAGAATGCACACCCGATGGAAAATATATATTTAAGCCTGTCTATAAAATTAAGGACAAGAAATCATTACTAAAGTGAGGTTTTCTTATAATAAATATTTTTAAATTTGCTTATTCTAAATTACTTAACATTTAACTTTTTTTTTCATACAGGTTATTAAAGCAACATGATCTCAAAGGACTTGGTGGTATATTGTTGGAAGATGTACAAGAATCTTTGCCTCATTGTGAGAGGGCATTAAAAAGTTTAGCTCAAGAAATATTGTACATAACTCGACCTACTGATAAGAAAAAAATATTATTTTATAATGACAAAACTGCAACACTTGATGTGAGTCAAAATAATATACTTCATGACATTTAAAATTAAGTGGATGTACTATTTACCGAAATACCTAATTAGAGTTTTTATTTTTAATTAAGGCTAATCATCATTCCTGCCATACTTTCAGGTTGATGAAGAATTTGTTAAACTATGGCGTGCAACAGCTGTTGATGCAATGGATGACGCGAAAATCGAAGACTATTTAGAAAAACAGGGCATCAAATCTATGCAAGATCACGGTCCTAGAAAGCCTGTCGTGCCAAAACGAAAGAAAACTGCACAAAAACGGAGGCAGTTCAAGAAACCAAGGGACAACGAACATTTGGCTGATGTGCTGGAGACTTATGAAGACAATACTTTGACACAAAAAGGAGTTACTATTAAATAAAATTACTATCCAAGTTTGTCTTTTTCCATAATTTCCCAAAATTTATTCTCATTTTTATTTAGGTATTATAATAGTTCTAACATCTCGAAAAAATGAAGTTTCAACTCTTCAGATTTGTTTTTTTTTTTTTGGAGTTTATGGCCTGGAGACGAGTCCTTTAAGCCAAGTCTTTTAATTTACTCGGTTTTATGTTATTATATACTTTCCAGAGTATTTTTAATGAAATTGTATAACGGCACTAAACACTTTGGATCACGTAGTAGATCTTCTAGGCGGCGGGAGGAAACATTATCTACAATTTCACTTAGTTCACTGGCTAAAATCAACCTTTGCATGTTGTAGTCACTGCATACCAACACTATGTGACTAATGTCACATAAGACGTTACAATTCAAGCACTTGTCATTTGCATCAAGTTTGAGTCTTGCAAGGTGTGCGGGTGTTCTATGATGTCCGAATCGAAGCCTGCATATAGTAGATATAAAATCTCGTCTGGCGTACTTGTATTGCTTTTGGTCATACCACGGTCTCACAGGTAAGTCCGATTGAATAGTACCGTACCACTTTCCTTTTTCTTCTTGGTCTTTCTTCCAGAAGTCTTTCCATACATGTTTTATGTTTTCTCTAATCAGTGCTTCAGATTTGTTTAGAAACTAATTAGTGATGTGAAAAGAATATCGATATAATATTCACATGTTCGCTGCTGAACATATACCTTTCGTCCACCGTGTAGGTGGACGTCCTAAGCTGCGCTTGCCGGTACGTAGTCTCTTTCGACAACCTTCATGGTCTAGCGGCTGTCGATAAATAAATAAATATAAACTTTATTGTACACCAAAAGAGTTGAGATGCATTTACAAAATTACAGTGTCCATAGTCGGTATTCCGAACTATGTATGCCTTGCTGCTTGCCACTTCAGCTTATTAATCCGCTGGAATATGTCGGCGACTTTTGTTCGTTATCTTTATCTTCGAAATCAGTCCGCTGATTGACTGAGCTTTCTTGAAAGGTCTATTATTAACGACTACGTTTTTTTTGTAAGGGGAAATCATCAAATGACTTCTTCCGCCCAGGGCCGGGCGGGAGGAAGTGTCAGTCTCTTACTGACTAAAAACCCCCTTCTCCTGCTCTGGGCCGAGGTCGCGGTGCCTCATTGCGCTTCCCCCGCAACCCTAGGCATCAACGACTACGTTGCGATTCCATAAATCATAACTAGCATTTATTGTAAACACATTGATTGTAGAAAATGAAGTATGTATGTTGGACTAGAAAACGTTGAATAGTTTACCGAACGCTGCCCATCCAAATTCTATACGGCGACTGCCGTCTTTCTCAATACATCTCTAAATCCCAGTTATGTCTATTCGTCGACAACTTCGAACGTAACATTTTGGGCTTTCGACAGGACCTTATCCTTACAGATTTTGAAGATACACCTAAGATATATTCCAACGAATTCAGTGAGCTCCGAAACGAATCGTGTGTTACGATAGAATAGGAGTATCCGATTTGTACCAAAATCGGATATTGTATCTTGATGCGATGTGTATCGGCCAGGTCTATGCTATGTCAATGTCAAACAAATGTCAAAACAACAGGGAAGCCGAAGTATCGGTAGCTTTATTTTTACGTTTGTTTTCAGATTTAATTTTGCAGAATTTGTTAATAATATCAATAATAACTTTCTATAAATCTAACTATAATCGTTTCAGTAAACATGTCCCAAATGGAACAGCTATCCTTATCTTGGGATTCCCACCAGAAAAGTATTTGTAATGGACTAAGCGCACTGCAGCAGGTACAGTACTTTAAATTAAATATACTGAATTGTAATTGCCTATCAAATTAATTTTAAATAATTCCATTTATTAAGGTGTACAATAATTAAAAGTATAAACTTGCTAACTGGAACATGCATGTAAATAAAGTATAAAATTATCTAATTCATTCGGTAAGACTATAAAAATAAACATCAAACCCATGCGAATACATTTAAACCCGCACGAAACAAAGATTGGGTTGTATTCAACCGTGTGACTAGCCAAGCACTTAGTACCTATAGCTCATTGTGTATTACGGTTGCCTATGGCGAGAAAAACTAGATTATTTTTTAAACTATTCGCACCCCATAAAAAAACACTTTCAGTCACAATTTTCTTATAATATAAAACAAAAAGCAATGTTATCTCTTTATGCCAATGTATGTATGTATGTATGACATAATGTTATAGCGTGGAGAGTATGTGGATATGACGCTGGCTGCAGACGGTTACTATGTGAAGGTCCATCAGATGGTTGTGTCACTAGTGAGCCCATACCTCAAGGATCTGATATCAACAGCCCCATGCCCACATCCAGTTATTTTTCTTTATGTAAGTTTAGCATTGATTCCTCTTTACTAAGATTTTATGTTTCAGCCAGACCCAAGAGGAACTTACAGCATTCCTTAAAAATGGACTATCCAACACAATAAAAGATTCTGACAAATTGAGAGCCTTGTTTATTGAAGTTGGTTAAAAATAATATTTCTTAAAAAAGCTAATTTTACTCAGATTATTGTTTTATAAGACATCCAGAATACTACACTGTTTACTGAAAAAAATTGAATGGTGATTGGACTCAAGATTCAATCTTCTTGAGACTTCAAGATCTCAACTACCCATCCCATCCCAACTTTCGGTTGGGGTACAGCTTAATGATTCAGTGATGTACCACAGCCTTGCTTGAGCAATATAAGAAATAGTTATCAGTCAGAAAGAGACTGACATTCCATCTCGCTCCACCATGGGCAGGAAAAGATATTGCATGAAATTTCCAATCCCAAAAAAAAAAATGTTCGTTTCAACAATGTCTTCAATACAATGAAAACATTATTAGTTTTTAAAATTATATTACTTGATCAGACTGGCAACAGAGGCAACTTGTATATGCCTGTATCATATATGTATATCACTAACTAGCTACTCTCTCGCGGTTTCACCCGCAGCTCGGCTCCATTTAATCGTAGCGTGATGTTTTATAGCCTATAGCACTCAGGAACATTGTAGGTTTACCCCCTACATAAAAACTTACTAATTTTACCTCTTTATAATATTAGTATAGATTATTTTTATGTTTAGTAAATAATAACTAATAATTTGGATTACTTTGTTTCAGAATATATCATATACTACACTAAGTGCTATATTAGAGTACATATACACAGGAGAGGTGCAGGTACCTCGACATAAACTAGAAGAACTACTTAGTGCCGGGAAAGCTCTGCACATAAAGGGACTTAAGGAAATGGTAAGCATATTACATTTTTTATTATTTCATTAAATTACCTATTTAAAATGATTAGGTAGTTTTTTTATGGTTTTAAATTGTATTTAAGTATGTACGTACACGTATTTTCGTAATACTGCCTTGGGTAACTAAAAATTATTTTTTAAAAAGATTATTAAATTAAAAAGCTTATTTTTCTTTTTAACGTCACTATTTGGCATTTGCGAAAAATGATGACAATATTTAAGAAAAAGATTTATTAATCCAAACTAATATTATAAATGCGAAAGTAACTCTGTCTGTCTGTCTTCTTTTTCTTCACGCCTAAACTACTGAACCGATTTGTGTGAAATTTGGTACAGATATAGTTTGGAACTCAAAAAAGGATATAGAATAGTTTTTATCCCGAAAACCACGCGAGAGCGGGACAATGTGGGTATAACCATAAATGTACTGGAAGTCATTATTCCACGCTATCGAAGTCGCGGGCAAAAGCTGGTTTTAAATTAAAAGTAAAAAATCCTCTTTTCATCATATCTTTAGTTATGTAATATGTAGGTACCTACATACGTACCTACATTAGAAAAAAATAATAAGACCCTTTATTTTCCATCTTTAATACTTACAAATTATTATTTTCAAGGATGAAAATAAACTTCCAGAAGAGAGCAGACCACATGGAAGCATCCCAACTAACTTAAGTATAACAGAAAAATTGAAAGCTTTCAAACAGAAGAAACATGCCCAGGAACAGAATATAACACCACCGCCAGAGCCTATATGCAAGTATGAGCTACATTATAACGCCAAAATCATCATCATAATCTGCTTAAATCCCGCAAGAGTCTAGCCTTATATTTGAGGAAAAAAATTCATCAAATAACTTCTCTAGCTCTGCAGAAGGAGTGTCAGACTCTTACTGACTAAAAGCGGGACGGAAGAATTCATTGAATGATTTACCACCTTAAAAGAGCCACCCCCGAATTCAGCCATTATTTAACTAGTGTAATCTTCATACAATTACCAAGTTTCATGATACAACAATTATTGAAAAAAGCGTTCTCGTTTGACTCCACCCAGTGTGAATGAGGTTACTAGAAGCCCTCCCTTCTTCATTCCTCAAAACCCTAATCCTTTATAACCCTCCTTTTGCTTTGCCGTAGTCGGTTAAAAAGGCCGAAAACGCAACTCAACTTCTTTAGGTTTGCGGTTTTCCAAGGTGGGCGCAAGGTGTTAACCATTAAGTTATTAAAACTATCATTATTCACTTTTATAGAATTTAATGTTGACCATTAAGTTATTAAAACTATCATTCTTCACTTTTATAGAATTTACCTAAGTGAAGACGACACTACCCATGAAGAAACAATGGCAATAGAGAACGAGCCCCTAGCCACAGATGTGATATCGACGACAGATGTTAATACAACACCGAAAGCAAGCAAAAAGTCTGATAACAATACACCACATTTAACGTATGAAGCAACTAGAAAGGTTTTGTGTGAGTTTCGATTTTTATCCTTATTATTATATACATAAGAATATTTTCATATTTTTTGTGTAAATTAATACTAAGGTGTTTATTGTTTTTTTTTTTATATTAAAATCTGCAAGAAAAAATCTTCTGGGCTAGATGGTAAAATGAATCCCTAACTCAAGTAAGAACAATATTTAAGTAACAATTGAGATATCAGTACTATGGAGTGGAACTGTTAACACGAGTCTGTGTTCTTCGAAGGGTATGGACCTGGGTATCTTAAAAGTCTTATTGAATATAGGCAGGCGAGCTTTATCGTAGACTGTATTATCGTTTACCCAGGTTTTATAGGCAGCAGCCAAACGCTATTTGCAATAAATTTATGCGAAATGTAATACAAGACTAACACCCGGTTTCCGAAAGGCCGATCAATGTTAAAATCAATTTAATCTCTTTTCAAGTCATCTGATTGCTTGACTGAATTATCAACAACCAATCAGATGACTTGACAAGAGATTTAACAGGAGATTAGTTAATTTTAGCGTTGACAAGCCTTTCAGAAACCGGGCGTTAATGTCACATTCAGGCTAAGTTGAAAGTATTGTCATGAGAGCACTGACCTCTATAATATCGCTGGACTGGCTATTGCTATCAACTTTTTGTGCCTATTTGAAAATCGCCATTTTGGCGCTGACGGCAGAAGTGAGGGGGAATGGAACTAATACTAGTAATGTACGACAAATGGTTTGATATCGATAAAAACTTTACTGATATCGACAACAATTACAAAAATATTACCGACGATATTTTTGATATTAAATTGGTTTAGGTAAATTTTATTAACACGATTTAATATAATTATATAAATATAATTAATTTTATTAATGTTACACGCACGTAAGACATGTAGGTACATAAGATATTTTTTAAAATATGATTTGTAACATAAAATACGTTCAGACTTAAATAACTATCTCACAACACCATCTAGTCCCAAGTTAAGCAGAGCTTGTGTTATAGGTATTAGACAGCTGAATGGAAATCGAACCCATGACTTGCGGCATAGCAGATTGAGCCACTTACTACGAGACCAACAAACTTGTCTGTAATAGTAGTATTTACTACTTTCTGGACTGTAATCAGTAGGTATCACGTGTGCGGTTGACCCGTTCTTTCACTTTATATTTCTTCTTGATTGGATAAAACTTCACTATTGGATCTATAAATCTCTGTAAAATAATTATATATCCTTAATAAAAAAATTATTATGCACTCTTTATGGAAAGGAATAAACTTGTTACTAGTTAGATATCCCATGTGGTACAAGACATAAATCTGTAATTAGGTACGGTAATTGACTTCTAACAGCTTAACTACTGCAAGGGAAGGGGACAGGGAAATTAAAAAAGCATTTTTAAATCACATATTTTATTATTTAAAAAAATATCGTCGAGCCTATTTTATTTACCGGGTCAAAAAATGTCTTACTTTCTCTCCAGTTACCAATAAAGAGTATTTTTTGTTTGTGCGTACAAACGGATGTCAATAATTTGGTTATTATTTCTTTTACAAGAACATTTAGGTAACTATGAAAATTGTCTGAGACTTATCTGTCTCTCAGGTGATCTTTTAGATCAGGAAACAGTTCATTGGTTTTGCAGTACCTTTGCAGTAAGTACTGCAAAAAAATTAGGCTCGATAGGTGGCTTATTGTTATTATATTTAAGTGCTTGTCGGAATAATGATTCCACCATAAAACAAATGTTTACAACACTCACAGAGCGCACAGTCAAACCACCTGTTTGCTTTTGGATAATAAGTGCTACCCCACTTCTCCTATTTGACACTGCATCTTGTGGTACAGTTTCACAGGCCATTAAACAGTCATCGCATTTTTTTTCATATCGATCGAATTGTAAATATCATTTGATCGAAAATGTAAAGTAATGGCAAATGATCTTAATTCTGGAGCATACTTAGAAAGTTTCACATTTTTGGTTATACTTTTAAAAAGTTATGTTTTGAAACCATCATACTGATTTAACATATAAACACAATCATCACATGCCAGTTTCTTTTTTTTTTAAATCAGCAATTACAGATTTTAAAGTAGACACGGGTAATTTCATACGTTTCATATTTTGTGACAATACTTTAATTCGAGCTTGTGACATTTTCGAAGCTCTTTTGACCCTTTCCAATTTATTTTTTGAAGATTTTGGGGTGTTCACGTAGCGGTGATCTAATTTGACACTAGAAATTATTTCCGCTAAAGTTCTAGATTCAGTTGGTGTGCTACAGTAGCTTGTGTTGTAACTTGTGCTTGGAACTGTAACAACAAATTATATTTCATTATTTATATTATTCAAAGAAAGATAATAATTAGATAGTGAAAATATGTTTCAAAATATTGGAAAAGTTATGTCATTATCGTCATTTGAACCGAAAGGTGACCACTGGACATAGGCCTCCCCTAAGTGTACCAAATTTTCTGTTGCCTGCAAGTACCCTCTTAAAAATTGTTTAGTATTTACCCACTGTTAGTTGCAAACTTAGTACTTCAGCAAGCCATGCTCAGTATTTATAAAATTTTCTAAAATAACTTACCTGCAAGGGCTTCAAATAGCAACATTTTTTTTTGATGGACTTCATCATTTAGTAACCCAACTTGTACAGGTCCTGAAGGAGAATTAAATTCATCCAAGCTCATTTCAATGTCTTTCTTGCATTAGTATCCTGTTGGTTGATCAGCCTCTTTAGACATCTCAGTTTGTAACAAGGATGAATTGGTTTCTGTAAAAAATTTGTTATTTTATTACAAATCAACAATATTTTTTAGATATCGATAAAGTATTTACATAACTACTACACATTTACACTTGCCAAGAAATATTGTGGGGATACTGCATTTTTTCAATGTAGTCAGTGACTGATGTTTTGTGAAACAGTCATCCATGAAGTGTTTAGAACAGAGATAATTATACATTTTTGGAGTCCAATTGACAACCTTCATATTTTTTAACCAAAGTTTCGGAGTGTCATCAGAGGGGAATCTGTAATTAAAAGAAATATTATAGTAGGTATATAAATTTATGTTTGTTAGATAACTCAATAAAATTATTAATCATAAATGTTAAATTATTTGTTATTGACTCTGATAATTATAAGCCTTGAAGTGTTTTGCTATTTTAAGAGATCATTATATTGTGCATATCATTATTTTACAATGAAGGTAAATATTATTATTCAATTCAATTCTTATTCAGGCCTTTGTGGAAAACACCACAATTCTTTCTTTCTTTCTTTCTTTCTTTAATTATGAATAAAATAAAACATAGCATTGCTGTTCTTATTACTCCATATGAAAGTATCGATATGAACTTTAACATCCCTATCAAAAGTTATTGGTTATAAAAATGTTCGTAAAATTCCATAAACTCGAACTGTTTGCGTTTATTATTGAAAGAATACACTGTTTTAAGCGTTTCCTACTAAGTATTTATATTTTAGATTCACTTACTTGTGAAAAGTGACGCCACTGCTCTTTTCGTATCGTGTTTTACAATATACGCACGATTTCATATTGGTCCAATAATAGAAGCTATGATACAATAACTGTCACTATTATAACACTTAATTTATGTCACAATCGCAGTAAATACTTTAAAAAACGTATTATTCCGCAAAGATACTTCGCATTTAAACAACAAACAACGGCCATTTGCAATTTAATTAGTTCTCAGTACTCTCACCGGGGCGCTTTGAATCGGCACAGAAAATAGCTGTCATTTTGTTAGGGATAGCCAGTCCAGCGTTTATTATAGAGGTCAGTGCATGAGAGTCAGAATGTCGGAATGGAAGAGTAGGTTAGGTTAGAACTGTACAGAAATCGAATCAGCATTGTGAATATAAAGCTACTCAAATTGTAGGTGCGATCAAAGGGCTATTCTGTTTGATTCAACTGCCATTTTTATCCTACACCTATCAGTGAACAGAAACAAACTCATTTATTAATATTTTGTTACATTACAGTGAGTAAAGACCTACAGTACACAGTATCGAACCAGGGTGGATTACAATCTATATACAATCGGTACATTTACAACCTGCGGTACGTGGGCAAGAAGAATGGCAAGCGATTCTGGCGATGCGTTCAATACGCCAACAGTAAATGTCCGGCCAACATATGTACGGACGACAACAATACTGTTACGAAAAGGTAAGGACGTTTTGTGTAATCTTTTATAATAGGTACAAGCTCCCGGTTTCGCACAGGCGCAATGCTGACACTAATTACAATCTCTCCACTATTTAATGGATGCTATTATACATATAAATCTTCCTCTTCGATCACTCCATAATCTATCGTGAGACATACTAAATGCTACTACAGAAACTACTACAGAGGGGTTCTTCCTCATGAGCAGCGTGCGCGGACGCGGCGACGGCGCGCAGCCTACTCGAGCCTAGTCGAGTAGGCTGCGGACCCCTCTGTGGTTGGAAACTAGTAGAGCTTTTCTCAATTTATACACGTGTGTAACCCGCGATTTTTTGTTACTCCATAATCCACCGCGGCCCCAGCCCCGAGCAGGATAAGAAACAGGGTGATTTCAGTCAGTAAGTGTGACGCTGACTGACATAAGTCATTTAATGACTAGATATCCCCCATCAAAATTCAAACTTTTTTTAGTAACTTATTTGTTCTGGAAACGTTTGGTCAGTTACAACTGGGTAAAGTAACCATTAAATAACTCTGAGTACATACATTTTACTCATCCTATGACTTATACGAGTATTAAATGTTTTTTAAGGGCCAAACCAGTGTAAATTCGTATAAATAATTTTTTTGCCGAGAAGGCTTACAATGATAGTGTACCCAGCATTTAATGAATGCAGTAATTTCTCAATTTGTCAGGAGACCAACCCATACAAAAGATTCGTTCAAATCGAACCAGTAGTTCCTGATACTAGCGCGTTAAAATAAACAAAGAAATGAACTCTTCAGCTTTGTACTATTAAAATACATATATAAATGTACACATAATAGTATTATTTACATTTCAGAACATTCAAACATAACCATCCATTTGAGGATACAAAAATACTTAAGAAATTAAGCAGCTGTAATATATTTTCACATTTCCATCAAGCTGAGACTAAAGCTGAATCAAGGAAGAAAGACAGACAGATGTCCAATATCTTAGAAATTGATGATCGTAAATAATAAATATGTATTTACAAATTCACTTGTTGTTTTAAGTCATCAAACCCCAAGCGAATCAGCAGCAGAAGGAACGGGTGGGTTTTGAGCCAGTAAGAGTCTGACTCTCTCGCCTTACCCTGGGCGGGAGAAGTCATTCGATGATTTCGCGCGCCTATTGTATTACTATTGTGTCTCGAATTACCACGATTGAAAGGTTAATAGTGATATTCTGAATTTAGTAAGAAAAATAAATGATATGATCAATTTAGTTGACCCAACTACATCTTGTTTCTTCGTCAGGAAAGACTGCACTAGAATCTTTTCCTGTGTCTTAGGTTCGTTTGCAAAGATAAATATTGAAAGAAAGAAACCGAGGATCGTCGAGTAATTAAGGTTACCGGAGGCTTCCCCTCCACCCATAACCTCGCTGTTGTTGCGGGCAGCGCCGAATGCTTACCATTAGGTAATTCTTCTGCTTGTTTATCTTTCTACCACATAAAACACACGGGCTTTTTATATATTTATTATAATTATTATATTACTTACACGCAATTGTATATTATAGATATAATATCATTGTTTACCCCTGTGTTACCAGCATTTCGGCTGTAGATTGTGACTTACTGATTGACTGATTCACTGACTGACAACTGACTTACTGACTAACGACTGACTTACTAACTGACGACTGACTTACTGACTGACGACTGACTTACTGTCTGACGTGTGACTTACTGACTGACGACTGGCTTACTGTCTGTTGACGTTGATTTGAACTTCACTTCAGTTGGAGCATAAAAATGGTAGGTACTTAATAAAACACAATTTATATAAAAATACTCATTAATTTATTTATATCTATTATAATAATTTATCTAAAATGCTTATAGAGTTGATATATGTACATAGCTTATGCGAGGTAATTCTTACACTATTCTATGAAACAAACATTCAATTTGTCATAAAATAAAGAAAAACAAAAATATATAAATAAAGAATTAAAATATCTGCTAAATATTAAAACTAAAAAATGTTTAACAAAATTTGTACCTCATTAAAAATGCACAATTTGTTCCTAGCATTCTTACCGCCATACCTACTCAAAGTCATTTAATGACTAAATATGGAATCCTGAGTTCTTACCAAGATCATAACATGTCTCTGAGTATGGCAGTTAGTGAAATAAATATATATTTTTAAACACTATTCACAATTAGATAGGAAATTTGATTTCCTACCTAGATTATGTGTATGGGTAAGTCATGGATCGATTATAGAACGAATCCGACGAAGCAGTAATGAAACAAAAGTCAATATTTTATTTTTACTAACATAATAATAATTATGCCATCATGATCAAACTGATTTTGGCCTCTGCTCCGGACAGACACAAGCCTCCCCAGTAACAATATGCAAATACTCAAAAACTCATTGTTTATTTTTTCAATGCTATAATGTCATACTTCGGATTCTTAAGTAGCGAATAAAATTACTTAGTAAATACTAGGTAAGAAAGTAACCGTTAAATGACTGATTATGGCGGGAAATGTTATGATTTCAGTTATGTCATCTGTCACATTATATAGAATGATGTTCGAAATTTAAGAAGAACCTCCAGTAAGACAGTTATACTTTTTACTCTTGATTTAAGGGTCATGGACCTCCAGATGCCATTAAAAAACTATTTTCATTAATTCACTACCGCGACGAACACATGCAATTATCGTGCACTCAGCATGTCCACACACTTAAATTAAAAACTATATAAAACTAAATCGTTTAAGTATCACATTTCTCACCCGAAATACGTATGTATATTATATGATAATTGGACTAGTCACATACTGTTATATCCATAATAAAAATAATATGATAATTTTTGTTCATAAAATGCAACGAAGGTAACCTAACGTCCTACTTATGATAGGTATTATGTTTTATTTCCATTAATTAATACGAGTCAAAATCTCACTTAACCTTAAATTAATTGAGTTTAATTTACTCATGATACACACACTGACAAACTATTAATAAAATAATTCAGGAGCAATAAAATGTATTGATTTTGTTCTCACGGGGTTTCTTGGGGGGTGAAAAGCCATTTAAATGACTTCGCACGGCTGGCTTCGATGGGGCGAGAGAGAGAGTGCCCGGCTATTACTGACTGAAAACCAACCTGTTCCTTATTGTATCGAGCCGGGGCTGCGGTACAATATAACAATTGTACTCGAACCCCGACTGAAAAAATAAGGTCTTAAATTCAACTAATTATTTACAATTATCCAATTAGACTTAACTATGATTTAGGACAATGATATTATAAGTAAAAAGGTGTAGATAGGTTAACAAGCGCTCAGCAAGTGATGCATTAAAATGTGGGTAACTAGGCACACTTTTTCATATTTATCTCTTTTTCACTCGCGATTATTGAATCATGCCATCCCACTTTAACGTGTATCATAATGTTTATTCTTGTGTGCATTAGTGTGCCGTTTTTTGAAAATCGAATTTTGTTTATGTAACTATTGTGACAGAAAACTCTTTGACATCATAACGTCAATGGATGGTTGTCAAACGTTGCCTAGAGATTGTAAATTTCGTCGTGAATTGTCAACACGAGTTGGTGTAATCGGTAAGGCGTGTGGATTACACCACAGAGACCCCGAGTTCGAGTCCCGCCGTAAATATGAAGTTTTTTAGTTGATGGAAGTTTTGTCGAACTTTCTGGAATATTTGAGTGAAAGTAATGAAAAATTAAGGAGCGAGAAGGAGAATAAATAAAAATGAATAACGAAATTATTGGAAGGTTCTGGAGGCATGACGATCAAAAAAAGAATAACGAAATTGAATGTTCTAGAACCTGACCGGGGGTATATAAGCGGAACTGCGGCTCACCGCTGGCAGTTGAGTTCTAAGTCTAAAAAAGCGATTCGGAAGAAAAGGAAGAAGTGAAAAAGAAGAAAAGTGAGTGAAATAGTGAAGTGCAGTGAAATAGTGAAGTGCAGTCAGTTAAGTGAAGTTAGCGTGAACGGCAAAGTTGTGTCAGTCGGCCGGACTCTGCTGGAGAGGAACGCCGATAACTTAACTCCGTGGACGCTGTAACTTAAGCGCAATAGAAAGTCTGAAAACCGGTATTAGTGTTTCATTTCATCCAATCCCGTAACCCAAGCCCGCATAGTCAGGCACGTAACATTTGGTGTCAGAAGTGGGATTGGAGAAAAATGCCGCTAGTGCCGCAGGACGTAAGAGGAGTGAGTACCCGTGCTATGTCAGAAGCGCAGCGTGTGAGGGAAGAGGGTGCTGCAGCTCAGACCAGCGATGCAGAAGCCAAGCCTGTGCAGATGGATCTTCTGCTACAGCTGCGGCAAATGATGGCAGAACAGCTGCGTGAGCTGAAAGAAGATCAAGCGCGCCGCCAAGAAGAGCAAGCACGCTGTCAGGCAGAACAGCTGCGGGAGCTGAAAGAAGATCAAGCGCGCCGCCAAGAAGAGCAAGCGCGCCGCCAAGAAGAGCAAGCGCGCCGCCAAGAAGAGCAAGCGCGCCGCCAAGAAGAGCAAGCACGCTGTCAGTCAGAACAGCTGCGGGAGCTGAAAGAAGATCAAGCTCGTCGCCAAGAGGAGCAAGCGCGTCGCTTGGAGGACATGCATAAAGATTTCACGAAGGGACTGCAAAAGGCTGTCGAACGGGTACAAGAAGTGGAGGAAGGTTTAGGCAAGTTGGAACATCGCGTCATGGCGATAGAGGAGAGAGTGGAAGAAGAGATCTCCAAAATCAAGCAGGAAGTGACAAGCCCAAGCCCTTTGAAGAGCCGAAGCCGTCTTGCAGCCGTTTTTGACGCCCCAAATGCGGCCTCAAGCGCAACGAAAGGGCTGAAGATTCCCCATTACGACGGAACAACATCCTGGACCGCGTTCAAGCTACAGTTTGAGACACTTATGGAGGCTTATGGTTTTACTCAGAAGGAAGCACAGTCAGCCCTCACCCTGGCCCTCCGTGATCAAGCGCTCTCAGTGCTGGAAGCTATCGGCGCAAGTGGGGATCTCAGCTTTAGTACCCTCCTCGACGCACTTGAGGCACGTTTTGGAGACAGCCACCTCGAGCACGTGTACAGAGCGCAATTAAAAGAGCGTACTCAGCGTGCTAATGAGAGTCTACAGCAATGGTCCGTGGAAATCGAGAAACTTGTGCGTCGAGCTTTTCGGTCGACTCCATCAATGATTGAAGGCACGCTTCTCCAAGCATTCATTGACGGTGTTCGGGACCCCGAAGTACGAGCTGCTGTTCATCTGGGCCATCACAAGAACATGAAAGAAGCTCTGGCCCATGCATTGGAAGTGGAAGCCGTGCGTGGCAACTCCCGTACCTTACGTCTGCGGGAAATGACGACAACGGAGCAGGTACCTCCACGCCGTCGGAACTTCATGTGCTATGGATGTGGAGAGCGTGGGCACATACGGAGCGACTGCCCGAAGAAGATGAACCGCAAGGACGCGGCGGTCTCAACTTCTGACCAGCAGGGAAACTTAAATCCAGCCAGGGCTGCGGGGTGGGCGCCGGCTGGTAGTGGAACAACCCCAACAATCTACATCAAGCAAACCAACGATGGAAATACTCTGGTGATAGACGGTCAAGTAAATGGGAAAAACAGTCAGCTAACATTAGATACTGGAGCTTCAAGGACGGTGATAAATGTTCGGCTGCTCGAGCACAACATCAGGAAACACCTTAAACCAATTGTTGGCCTACAAATGAAATCAGCTACCGGCCAGTGCATACCGATAAGTGGAAAACTGCATGTAACAATCAAAATTGGGGAACGTGTTTATCGACATGAGGTTATTGTGGCCAAAATTCTGGATGACTGCATCCTGGGACTTGACTTCCTGCAAGGGCACCAGTGTAACATCGACTTAAAATCTGGAGTATTACTATGTGGAACTGAGGAAATTCCGATGAAGGGTGGAACCCTGGGAAAAGTTTGCTGTTTAAGAAGAACTGTTCTTGAACCAAAATCACAGACTCTCGTACCAATCGCATTACCTAGGAGGAGGGAAGGAAGTTTACCTCTAAGGTGCGCTGTGATTGATAAATCGGAACACGTAAACTCATGGCTACCGGCGAGAACTGTCGTTGGGTCATCTGATGTCAACCGCATTCCGGTATTCAACTTCAGTGATTCAAAAATTACGATTGAAGAAGGAGAGCCTGTGGGCGTATTGGAAGAAGTGGCCTGGATAAGAAAATGCTCGGAGAATCTTGTGAAGAAGGACAGTACGGGAATAGACTTTGTAACGAAAATCTTAGACGAAAACAAAAGTCTGACAAAAGTGGAGACTATGAAAGCTAGAAATTTACTTCTTCGATTCTCTGATGTGTTTTCAAGAAGCGATGGTGATATTGGCCGAACTGGTTTGGTGAAGCATAAAATAAACACAGGTGATACAATGCCAATTCGTCAAAGGCCCAGACGCATACCATTCGCTCGTGAGAAAGAGGTTGAAGAAATGATTGACGATATGAGGAAAAATGACGTGATAGAGCCCTCTTCTAGCCCTTGGTGTTCACCTGTCGTGCTTGTCAAGAAGAAAGATGGTTCAACGAGGTTTTGCGTAGACTATCGACGATTGAATGATGTAACCAAGAAGGATAGCTACCCGTTACCAAGAATCGATGACACACTTGACACACTGAGTGGCATGAAATGGTTTTCAACGCTCGATCTGAAAAGCGGCTATTGGCAGGTGGATTTGGATCCCAAGGACAAGGAAAAGACCGCATTCTCAACTGGGAAGGGACTCTGGCAATTTAAGGTGATGCCATTTGGATTATGCAATGCACCGGCAACCTTTGAGCGTTTGATGGAACAGGTGCTGGCGGGACTGCTGGGCGAAACCTGCCTAGTTTACCTCGATGACATCATCATTGTTGGACGGGATTTTGACGATTATCTAAGGAAATTGGAAAAGGTACTCGATAAGCTGCGTGGAGCAAATTTAAAGTTGAGTCCAAAGAAATGCTCTTTCTTCAAGCGCGAAGTGAATTATCTAGGACATGTTATTTCTGAGAGAGGAATTGAGACTGATCCAGCCAAGACTGCCGCTGTTAAGGAATGGCCAACACCTAAAGACAAAACGCAAGTTCGGGCATTTCTTGGATTGTGCTCGTATTATCGGCGGTTTGTGAAAGGATTCTCGGACATTGCCAAGCCTTTGCATCGATTGACAGAGGAGAAACGTGCCTTTATCTGGGACGAGGATTATGAGCAAGCCTTTCGAGAACTAAAAGAACGGCTTTGTAACACACCAATTCTCGGATACCCCAGCGCGAAAGGAATATTCGTAGTTGATACGGATGCCAGCAATATTGGAATAGGAGGTGTCCTTTCACAACGCGATGGTGAGCAGGAGAAGGTTATTGCTTACTTCAGCAAGTCACTATCCAAGCCGGAGAAGAATTATTGCGTGACCAGGAGGGAATTGCTGGCCGTAGTCAAAACTCTGCACCATTTCAAGAAGTATTTACTGGGACGGAAATTTTTGATCAGAACTGATCACGCTGCTTTGAAATGGCTGCTTCAGTTTAAGGATCCCGAAGGCCAAGTAGCCAGATGGTTGGAACAACTTCAGGAATTTGACTTTGAAATCGAACATCGCGGCGGAAGAATTCATGGCAACGCAGATGCATTATCGAGACGCCCATGCGTGGAAGATTGCAAGCATTGTGCCAAGAAGGAAACTGCTTTTCTTAAGGTGATAAGGACTGATACTGTTGACGAGGCATGGGGAGATGATGCGATGAAATTAGAACAGGAAAGAGATGCAGATATCAAACCAATACTGGAGTGGCTACGAAGTGGTAACAAGCCAAGTTGGAGTGACGTCGCCCAATATAGCGCGGTAACGAAAGGTTTATGGGCACAGTGGAAAAGCCTTACGCTGCATAACGGACTTCTGTGCAGGAAATGGGAATCAACAAACGGCAAGGACGAGCATTTGCAATTGGTGGTGCCTCGTTCAAAAATAAGGGATGTATTAAAAGCGTTCCATGATGGATCTTCTGGAGGACATTTGGGAATTAGGAGGACTTTGGTGAAGATCAAGGAGAGGTTTTATTGGTTGCATTGCAAATATGACGTCGAAGATTGGTGCCGGAAATGCACTAGTTGTGCAGCTGGCAAGGGTCCACAAACAAGAAGCAGAGGGGCGATGAAAATCTACAATGTTGGTATGCCTTGGGAGAGAATAGCCTTAGACATCGCTGGACCATTTCCAATCACTGATTCGGGCAATCGCTACGTTTTAGTGGTTATGGATTATTTTACAAAATGGCCGGAGGTCTTTGCCATACCGAATCAAGAGGCAGTAACTGTAGCCACGAAGTTGGTAAACGAGGTATTCACCCGATTCGGAGTGCCCTTGGAGATGCACAGTGATCAAGGACGGAACTTTGAATCCCAAGTTTTCCAGGAAACTTGTAAACTTTTGGGAATCCATAAGACTCGAACGACCCCTTATCATCCACAGTCAGATGGAATGGTCGAACGCTTCAACCAAACATTGGAGCGACACTTAGCAAAGGTGGTTGACAGCCATCAGAGAGATTGGGACACTTACATACCTCTCTTCTTGCTTGCCTATCGGACTGCTGTACATGAAAGTACCGCAAAGACGCCTGCATTTGCAAATTTTGGAAGGGAATTGAGATTACCGGCAGATCTTGTATCGGGCTGTCCACCTGGTGACTCTCGCACCGAGTTTAGCGATTACATAAGCGAGTTAAGGGCAAAAATGTTGGACATTTATGAGCAGATCAGGGAGGCCGGTCTTCAAGCTAGTGATCGCGCAAAGACGCGCTATGATCGACGAGCCAATTCTGTTGGGTTTGAAGAGGGGTCATTGGTCTGGCTTCATAATCCAGTCAGAAGGAAGGGAAAATCTCCAAAGCTGCAACCGAGTTGGGAAGGTCCTTACGAGATAGTCACGAAGATCAATGACATTACTTACAGAATTCGGAAGTCTTCAAGGAGCCCTTTGAAAGTTGTCCATATAGACAGGTTGGCGAGGTATTACGGCAGCAACGATGCTCGGGACGAGCGAATCTAAGAGGGGGGCAGTGTGACAGAAAACTCTTTGACATCATAACGTCAATGGATGGTTGTCAAACGTTGCCTAGAGATTGTAAATTTCGTCGTGAATTGTCAACACGAGTTGGTGTAATCGGTAAGGCGTGTGGATTACACCACAGAGACCCCGAGTTCGAGTCCCGCCGTAAACATGAAGTTTTTTAGTTGATGGAAGTTTTGTCGAACTTTCTGGAATATTTGAGTGAAAGTAATGAAAAATTAAGGAGCGAGAAGGAGAATAAATAAAAATGAATAACGAAATTATTGGAAGGTTCTGGAGGCATGACGATCAAAAAAAGAATAACGAAATTGAATGTTCTAGAACCTGACCGGGGGTATATAAGCGGAACTGCGGCTCACCGCTGGCAGTTGAGTTCTAAGTCTAAAAAAGCGATTCGGAAGAAAAGGAAGAAGTGAAAAAGAAGAAAAGTGAGTGAAATAGTGAAGTGCAGTGAAATAGTGAAGTGCAGTCAGTTAAGTGAAGTTAGCGTGAACGGCAAAGTTGTGTCAGTCGGCCGGACTCTGCTGGAGAGGAACGCCGATAACTTAACTCCGTGGACGCTGTAACTTAAGCGCAATAGAAAGTCTGAAAACCGGTATTAGTGTTTCATTTCATCCAATCCCGTAACCCAAGCCCGCATAGTCAGGCACGTAACACTATCTATACTTACCAAGTTACTTATAATATCATTGATTTAGGGTGTATTTTTAAGTATTAAAATGTAACTACAAAAATAATTTTATTCGTAGCATTCTCATTTACTTTGGCTAATTCAATTTCGTTACCGCACCAAATATTAGATACAATTTTAGCACAATAAAATCGTTTCTTCTAATTTGTAGTTTGTCTAACCTACACTACACCCTGTATATATCACATACGTTTCTCAAAAACCTATCTTATTCTTAGGTACTTTAGGTTATATTTACGTATTAAGTATTTCCTGCTTTGAAAAGTTATCTGTAAATTAATTATTAATTTACAATGTGATTTTACCACACTGAATAGTCATGATAATTGCCCCTATTATAATATAAATAAGAGTTAAATTGGCTTTAAAATTTTCATTCAGGGACTCTTAACATGATGTCTATACTTGTACGATGAAACATTTTTGTAAACAAATCATAAGAGTCTCATCATCATCATCAGCCTGTTGTCGTGCACTGCTGGACATAGGCCTAATATTATTATATAATTGCACGCCTAACATAATAGTATATCTTTCGTAAATTTCTTTCAAGCTTTGTTTAAGGACAATACTTACGGTAGTTTCCAACTAGTCAAATTCAATACTTTTACCCAAATGTCAAAAACGATTCTGTTATTTGGATAAAAGTATTGAATTTGACTAGTTGGAAACTACCGTATTGGCGCTGCCCAGAAGCTACGTTATAACAAAAGGAGCCACAAGTACGTAGCCGACCTCTTGAGGATTGTTAGACATTTGAGGATTGGGGATAAGGATACGCGACGGGGTAAGGAGATAGGGCCTACAGTAACCTTCTACAAACTAAGCGTTATTTTACGCCAATGTTCTATAAGGAATTAATATTCGTTATTCTTTCGCAGCATTAACAAATCTTGTACCTAACGTGGTTTATACGTAACTAATTTGATCATAGACTAGTTACGAAAACAGTTGGTTCGGTGGGTCGTTTCATGATCCTCGTCCTAATAAGTCGCTCGGAGATGATCCTCACGAAGAAGTCTGGTAGTAGACAGCCTACCACTACAACCAGGTTGAGGAACCAGAAACCGGGCGAGGAGAGCAACCTTATATACGTTCCAAGGACATCACCGTCGATTTGCCTGAAAAATATTTATTCATTATTTGTTTGTTCTATCCTTTCACGGCACCACAGGGTCCCGGACCTTTGGAAGGCGTAAGAGGAGCCGAAATCAACTCGCAGAGGCCCGTTGAACAGTTTTAATCTAAATGTGATGGGACATCAGCCGGCAATATCCCTGTATGCACTATATAAGTGCACCCAAGGACAATCCCCGGTTGGTGCAAGACTATTGTGAAATGTGGTAAAAATTGATAGGGTTATGAATATGGGTTGCTATGGACTGGTGGATATTTATTCATTATTATTATTAGTTTCATTAATAAGTGTTCTATAGTTTCATTAGCTTCCGCCCGCGTGTTCCGCATATGGCTTCATCCGCGTGATGTGTAGATAAAAAGCCGGCCATATATTAATCAAAGGTAGGTACCATCTATCTACTATATATCAAATCGGTCCAACCGTTTTTGCTTGAAAGAATAACAAAACATACATCCATACATTATCGAAACTTTCGCATTTATAATATTAGTAGGACTATGAATGTTTCAGTGAAAACGAAGCTTCGCAAATACATAAATAAGATAGGTATACTTACAAATACATGAAAGAGTAGGCAGTATTGAAGAACATGTAGATTATGATAGAGAGTACCACGGATAGGACGAACAGTAGCGTGTGGTAGCGCGCGTGTAACCAGAGCTTGAGGTTCACTATCACTGTCAGTAAGTGAAACGTTACTGCACCGTAGCACCTGGAATTTTGAATTACCTTAGTATATATCTAGTCAAGCTCATATTACCTATCTAAAAACATTAATTTCAACTAAACCTTATACTGATTGCTATTTACAGAATACCGGCGTGAAACAACTACAGCGTTGTGTTTCGCTGAGTGAGTGAGGTTACTGGAGGCCCAATCCCGCCCCTTCCCCTGTCCCTTCCCGATTCTTGTATCCACAACCCCTATCTCCAAAAGGTCGGCAACGCACTCGTAACTCCTTTGGTGTTGCGGGTGTCTATGGGCGGCGCCGATTGCTTACCATCAGGTAACCCGTCTGCTCGTTTGCCCATTTATATAAAAAAAAAAAAAATACCCTTCGCGTCGAAGGTCAAAGGCAGCCTCTAGTAGAAAGCAAAGCGTGCTAAGACGCTTTTATATTTTATCTGTGTCAAGAAGCGGCAGACGAACTAATAGATCACCTAGTTACCCAAATAAATACTAGCAATAGTTTAGTTAAAAATGTGTTGTCGGGCTTATGAGAAAAGTAAGGTGCGGTTTGGCAATCTGATTTTTGGAGTTATATTTACTGTCTACCAATCGGGGCCACGGTAGCTTATTGCTTCTGCCCCGCAACTGCAGCGAAAACTTTAAGGGCTAAAACTGACTAAATGTACGCCTGCTCGGTCCCATCACCGCTTAACACAGCTAACTAATGTGTGTCAAATGTTGAGATCCTTAGTCTGGGTAAATACCCCCTCAGGAAGAGGAGTCCCATTTTGGCTTTGGGGAGTCGGGGTATTAAACTCAAAGAATCTCAATCAAACGGTATCACATTATTCAACCACGTTTTCCATGAAGTCGTGATTTCACTCGAATCGAACCAACCAATGGCTCTTCTACAAAAAATATAAAGAAGAATTATGTGTATACTAACCACAAATCAACAGGTTTCCCATCAAGATTGATGATGGAATTCTTGAAGGCCAGGTAACTGAACCAGTAGATGACGAGCGAGTGGTACGTGGCGGCCACGCACCAGGACACGAAGTACGGCCACGACATCAACTTGTTCTTCTTTATACTGCTATATAGGGGAGGGTTGCTGAAAAAGGATTATCGTTGGTAAGTTTGTGATTTTGAAATGTATGTTGTCAACGGTTAAGTTCAAATTAGATTGGTATCGACTCTTTTCTGCCTTTGATTTTGTTCTCTCAAATAGTATTAGTAAAAATGAATTTATTGCAATTCATTTTTAGAAAAGGCGTTTAGAAATTCGTTTTAAAACAAATGTTAAGCTATTTGGTTGGGGATCGCAGTTAGGTTCGGAAATATTTAGAACTATTAACTTTTATATTACTATACTATTAATAACTTTAACTATACTCGTATTAACTTTAACTATGGATTAGCGTAATTTGGCCTTTTTTATTACAGCCAGCAGGCAGTTTAAGCCAGAGCAAATAAAAACTGACAGTAGGTAAACGAGGATTTTCTTTTTAAATATTATTCAAAGGTATTTCCGAAAGATTTACACTGTACTAGTTTCTGCAAGAGGCTCCCTTGGTACCATTACCAATCAATGTGTTATTCTGTACTATAATTTATTAGTAGTACTTTCAGTAAATTTTACGTTAAATAGTAACAAACAACATCATTTATAATACATTAGGAAAATACTTACTTATAGAGTACAGCAGAAGGCCAGACCTGTTCTGTGACCGAGAGAAGCAGTACCGGTACAGAAGTAAACACGAGGTTGTAGAAGGTCAGGTACATAGAGTCGAAAATTGACTGCGTCGAGAAAACCGATTGCATTTGGAATAAGAACTGTGGACAAAGGAAAACTTTAGTTAATAACCCTATAAGTGCCCACTACTGAGCAAAGACCTCTTCCTACGGAAAAGGTTTGAACATTAATCACCACGCTTGCTCAAGTCGGATCGGTGATTTCAAACTCATAATTAGAAATAAGGCGGATCGACAATTACAAACAAATTATTTGAAATAAGGCATGTTCAATTGGCAATTTCAAACTCATAATTAGGAATAAGGCGGATTGGCAATTACAAACAAATTATTTGAAATAAGGCGGATTGGCAATTTGAAACTCATAATTAAGAATAAGGCGGATTGATAATTTCAAACAAATTATTTAAAATAAGGCGGATTGGCAATTAAAAACTCATAATTAGGAATAAGGCGGATTGGACATTTCAAACAAATTATTTGAAATAAGGCGGATTGGCAATTTCAAATTCATAATTAGTAATAAGGCGGATTGAACATTTCAAACAAATTATTTGAAATAAGGCGGATTGGCAATTTCAAACTCATAATTAGGAATAAGGCGGATTGGTCATTTCAAACTCATACGGACGCTGCAACAATTTGAACGTCTGCATTTGCCGGAACTTGAAAGCGAAGTGAGAGGAAAGGCGGTATTAAAACACACGTATCCCTCGATCTGAAGACTCTGCGGAAGGCGAGTAAGGGCAACTCGCCGCCCGACCAGAAACAGACCTGAGCGTACGGCGCGAAGCGTCCAGCGCGCGCCTCAAAGAGCCAATAGACCACCACAGACGGGGCCCTAAAGGGCTGATGTTCAGCCGGGGTTGCGGGGTAAGCGCAATGAGGCTCTGAGGCCTCGGCTTAGAGCAAGAGAAGGAACAGGGGTTTTTAGTCAGAAAGAGTCTCATCCTCTCTCTCGCCTTACCCGGTGGAAGTCATTAGATAATTTTCCCTAACAAAAAAAAAAGTATTTAGGGAATTATAGCAATAGGGGCTAAATGTAAATGAGGCATTACTTTCACTCATCACTGCGCTCCTAAAGTCTAATCAAGGACGTTAGTCAGAAAGTCGCTGGTCAGACATCTAGTGGTTTAGGTTAAAAACTTTTTTCTTCGTAATACAATAAAAAAATAAGTCATCTTCATCTACATTTTTAAATTATTCTGTTTTAAAAAAACATAAGTAGTCCTAGTTGAAAATCCCTTTTATAACGTAACAAATATTCATATTCAACATCTTACCATAATGTTCCCAAGAACTAGATTCTTATAGAAGAAGTATTGAATCAGCGTCGCCAGCCGCTGGTTGTACCAATGGCCCATGACTAGTAAAATCTTCTTGATCATTGAGAATTTCGTGATCGCGAAGTCAGCAGACCTGTTGAAAAACAATAACAATTAAAAAGAAGATAAATATCTACTTATCTTTAAAAAAAATATTTAAAAATAACGGCTTCTTCGCGTAAAGTAATCGAGAAAAGCTCTACTAGTTTCATATCACAGTGGAACTCTTGTTCATGAGCAGGTTTTCCCTCGCAGAATGAAAGAAAACAGCTAAAATTATGTCTTAAAAATAGATTTCTCTTTTCTATAGACGCGTAATAATAAGCACATAGGTATATAAGCATGTCAGTTACTCTGTTTCCAAATCTAGACCAGACTAGATCATATAACAAGGTAATAAAATACATTTTCAAATCATACCTCCCGGCCTGATGCCCTTCTCTGCCTAGGATCCCGAAGCCGACATGCGCCTCCTGTATCATCGAGATATCGTTGGCCCCGTCTCCTATAGCCGCGGTGATTGGCCGCTCACTACTTTCTTTTATTAATTTTACTATCTGAGTTTAAAAAAAGAAATTAAAATTAGATAAAATTATTTTCATTTATAATGACATCATGAAATATTCTACCAGCCCTAGCAACAAACTCTATGCTGAAGTCAAAACATCCAAAATTACGAATATGCTCCTTAATGACAATAAAAAGGATAAGTGATATCGGTTATTTATTTTTTATATATAATGCCTACAGGCATTCTTGCTAGCCAACCTTTGGGAGTTGCAGTGAGAAGTAAGTATCCTTATGCTCATACCTCAAATCCTTAACAACCCACAAAAGCCCGACAACGCACTTGTAATTCTTTTGAAATTGAGTGTCCACGGGCGGCACCGATTGCTTACCCGCTGATACCACGACCGCATAAAAAAGCGGTGTGAAACAACCATAGCGTTGTGTTTCTCTTCGCCCTCTCCACAATCCCTAAATCTCTGAAACTCTAATCCCCAAAAGCCGGCAATACACTCATAACTCTACTGGTGTTGAGCATCGCCCAAAAGGTTTTTTTTTATGTAATAGTTCGGCAAACAAGCAGATGGATTACCTGATGGTAAGCAATCAGCGCCGCCCATGGACACCCGCAACGGAGGAATTACGAGTGCATTGCCGATCTTTAAGGGATTAGGGATTTGGAGACTCAGGGATTGAGGAGGGATCGGGGGAGGGGAAGGATTGGGCCTCCGTAACCTCACTTACACGGCAAAACACAACGCTGTGGTTGTTTCACGCCGGTTTTCTGTGAGGCCGTGGTATCACTCCGGTCGACCCGACCCATTCGTGCCGAAGCATGACTCTCCCACACTTAAAAGGTTTTTCCAAAGGCGTCAAAGGTACCTGAACATTAGAATGTCAAAATCGAATACGTACTTTAGCCTTCTGTATAGGCGATAACCGACAGCACAACACAGCGTGGCACTTAATGGCGATATTTACAAACGCTGGCGCATATTCAGTGTCCAAAACCTGCGTCATACTAGTCCCATCTACCACTAAGGTGAGGTCTCTGTAACTCGGTTCGCTTATAATTCGGGAACACTCGTCTATGTGGGCTTGTAACGTCGTATTGTCTTCTACGCCAATCATGAACATTCTTCTGTCGTTCTCTGATATATGCGCACATGATTGGGCCACGTTGATTGCTGTTTCTACCTGTAGGTGTAGATAGATACGTTTGTTAAGAATTCGTGAATGTTTTTGGGGGTTCTGAACGTTGCATGGTAAACAATGTTCATGAGTGCTGCTATAAAACATCACGCTACGAGCAAATGGAGCCGAGCAGCGGGTGAAACCGATCAAGATTAGCTACTTAGTACAATTACTTATAATAGAAAAGTAATCTTTTCTTGTGATACTATAATAAATACGCATACCTATATGAGACTGTAATCAGAAGCAGACAAAAGTTAGATTATGTGAGGTTTATGTTTTAATATCATTACATTATACCTATATTATGTGACTGGAAGGGTCAAATACATGATTTTGACTTTGACTGGACTTGACTACGTTTAGGCTTGGCTTGAATTTCAGTAGTTTCATAGTTACCTTATCCCCAGTAAGCACCCAAGTCTTAACACCGGCAGCTCGCAAAGAAGCCAAGGTATCAGCGACATTGTCCTGCAGACAGTCCTCGACGCCGGTCGCCCCGATCAGCGTTAGATGTCGCTCCAATGCGCGGTATTGTTGCGTCACCTGCTGCAGTGATTCCGCGTTCTTACCGTCCAGGCGTTTGATTGCTGAGGAGAAAATTTTACATGGTAATTAATATCTATGTTACAGCCAACTAGCTTAATCAACTTTTGAGGTTCAGAACATCCTTGATTGTGATGGGTGATTTTCTCAATCAGACCGTAAGTCGTAAGCTTAATGGTTTATTTTTGAATAATAGTAACAGTTCAGTCGTCGCGCAACGCACGCTGCTCAAAAATAAGAATTCCATTGTGACTTAAGTGTAGGAAAGTATAGTATAGTAGAGCTTTTCTTTTTTACTAGTTATAAGTGCATTTCGGTTTCCATAGTATTTCTAAAAGACAGATTTATTTGTTTAAATTTGGAACATCCTTTTCAAAAACTTGTGAGTAGGATTTATGTAGAAGAGAATTTCAAAGAATTTAAATCTTTTTTAAAAGAAACGCTAACTTACCTTCAGCAACCTTTTCATATTCGTCCTCAGGCACCTCTCGGTACGCAATGGCGAGAGTTCTAAGACCCTTGTTAGCAAATATGTTGATATCTCTGTCAGTCTCCTGCACACAGCTATAGTTCGTACACAGAGGGAACACAGAACTCTCTGCTCCTTTGCAAAACAACCATATCTGGAAAAAGCAGATATTTTAGCAACGCTACCATTATTTATTTGATAGCAAACGAGCAGACGGGTCTTTATAAGGTGGTACGCAATCAGTGTCGTCTATGGAAACTTGCAACTCCAGAGGAGTAACGAATGTCTTAATAGCTTTTTGAGGCTCAGGTATGGGAGAAAGGATGGGTATTACTGGACCTTCGGTAACCTCACCCACTCGGCAAAATACAAAGCTAGCGTTGCTTCACTCCGCTTTTCTTTGAAACCTATTACTCTTTTATTTTTTAGCTAAGTAGTAAATTCTTAGTCTTTGCTGGGCCTCACGAGTCGCTAAATCGTGAATTTATTTTTCAGAGTTTCGACTCTATTCTTTTATAATAAAATTGTAAAACTGTTTGAATTAGGTACTTATTAGAATTTTTGACTAAATTCTTATCAAAGTCGTGATTTCTAGCCATATTAGGAAACTTGTGAAGTCTTCAATCTGCATATTGAATACTCAATACTTCCAAAGGAAGCTATGTAGATACGTATGTTCTACGTTCCATTACAGGCAAAGAAACAAATTATCCCATCAAATGACTAAAGGAAATTACACTTAATCACCGTTACGTAACGGAAAAGTTTTATACATACTTATATATCTACGTAATTAAAAACCAGCTGATCAATAATCCAATAAACCTATCACCTATATCAGGAGCTTCCGTAAACTTTATCAAAATGAGGATTAATAGATTAGGCGGCCAACCAGAAATATCTTAAGAATACAAAACTGATAAGTTTATCTGTCAATCGTAGCATGAAATCTGAAGAAAACAGACATAACTTACTTTCATAATGAACATATCTGTTCTTTTAATTGAGTAGTGTTAGAACGTTTTGCCAGCGAAATACTAGCTATTTTTATGGGATGAGAGCGCAACCAAGCCTTTCTTACACTAGGTATTTTTTTTTATAAGACAGTTCGGCGAACGAGCTTATAACGATGGTGATAAGAAATTGGCGCTGCCTATGGACATCTGCAATACCAGAATGCGTTTGCCGGCCTTTTGGAGGTTGTAAAAGATTTTAGGATTGGATAATTGGGGATTTGTGGATGGAGAGAAAGGATTGGGGAGGCCCAAGCTTGAGCCGAGGCTTGTGTTTCGCTGTTTGAATGAAGTTACTGCCTCCAGTAACTTCATTCAAACAGCGAAACACAACGCAAACTTTGTTTCATGCCGGTTTTCTGTACGGCCAGTATCATTCCGGTCGAGCCGACCCGTTTGTGCCTAAGCGTAGCTCTTCCTTACTTGATGATAAACAATAATCACCGTCCATAGACGACCAAATATACATAAGAAGAGACAAGTGCCTTGTGAGCCTATGGGGAAGAAGATTAGAATTGTTGTACGTGTGAAAATAAGTACCGTCTATCACATCTTGGATTTTGGTCTACAATAATTCTTACCTTCCCATCTCTATCTCGAAGTATAACCGACATTCTCTTTCTTTCCGAAGTAAACTCGATGATTTGAAGACGCTCATACATTTCAGTATGTTCCCCAACCTTCAGAAGTAAATCATTTCCTTCTTCGCCAAGAAATGTTATGTCGAACCGCTCAGCTACTTCAACCAACGCCTTTTCGTCAGGGCTGCTTGCTTGATAATCGATTTTGTTCCCATTCTCATTGATAATAGAGTTCCAAGTTACATTGTCGACTACAGAACCATTCGTGTTGTTGGTTTTAATTTTCTTTCTTTTGAAAAAGCTCATAAGTTGCATGTTCCCCGTCACTGAGAGACGAGCGCTAAGTTTCTTCATGTCTTCGTTCGATACTTGTACTGAGTGACAGAGCGCGAGGATTTTGAAGAAGAATTTGATGTCTGTCTGAAATAGAAAGGAATTCGTGTTTTATAACAATAGAAGAATGTTCTTGGATGTACCGCGGCCTGGCTCGGAACGGAAAAGAACGTCCACTAAGGACGTTATTTTTCAAAGAGTTTTTGTTTGTCTGTCTACCACAAAGTTGCACCGTGATATTTAGACAGTTGAAATTTAGACAATTAATACTAAAAACCAAATATAATAAGGGTATTTATTCATACTACATTATTTTGGTAAGGAAATCTACGTGCGAGTGTTCGTCTCGCACTTAGCCGATCAATGTTAGTCAAGAAGATTTCTTTCTTTTTTCGTTACCCTGGCGGACTAAACTAAACGAAATTGATTTTTTCAATCAATGCTCTATTTTGCATCCCAGTTAAGTAATTATCACATTAAAGATAACAAAGCTACTTTTATAGACAATCGCTAAATCATTTTTCATTTTTTATCAAAATTCACAAATTCTTTCTTAAGATATAGTGGTGATATCCAATCTATTTGGATACCCATATATGAAAATAGTTTTTGTTAGGCTAAGGCTGATTAATTTTGTTTTAAAAACATGGGATTCTTTTTCCAAAAGTAGTCATTTGTTTATTGATTAGTATTACATTTTCATCGCATTTCAAATCAAAAAATTCGTTTAAATTTTTTCATGCAATACGGCAATTTCATAGGTAAAGACCTATTATTTAAATCTATAACGTAATTTCTGTTCAGCCGGAGTTGCGTCGCATGTTATTGCGCATAAAGCGCGCTCTGTAGCAGGAGATGGAAAGGGGTGATTTTAAGACAGTAAGTGTCCGTCGTCCCCTCTTAGCCTTACCCTGGACGAGTGAAGTTAGTCAATGATTTTCCCTTCACAAAAAGAAAGCAGCAAGATAAAAAGTACAGTACGGCCGACGTATCTTGGAGAGTCTGAAGTTAGCCGTTTGTCTACGCAATGGATCTTTTAGGAACAAAATTGTGGGTACGTACTGCGCAGCTAATCGGCTAACTTCAGACTCGCCAAGCTACGTCGGCCGCACTGTAGGTAACGTTTTACCAGACTATACCTATAATCTATCTCAGTACCAAAAATTAATCATACCAAACATTCACACTTACAAAACTTCACGTTCATAATATTAGTAGTAGTAGTAGTAAGACTGATATAGATCTATAACATTTTCGTATTTGTAAAAATTCGCATTCAAAAAATAGCAAGGTGGAATACATTCAAATAAATACTTTATCAGCTTGATCATAAGGAAATTGATATAAATTATCAATTCACATAAGTGCTTATCTATTACGAAGTTAATATTGATTGATACCTACTGACAAGTCAAGACGCCCATACCTATTTTATTATTGTTTCTAGATCATCCTAGATAATGTATGTAGGTACATGGACATGGGCGTTAATGATGAAAGCCTAATATGATTCATAATGTATAAACGGTACCAATCAAAAACATAAATGTGAAATGGGAGCCAAGTTCAATATTATGATAAATGCCTTGGTTGTTAATTGACTTCAACGACAAAACAAGTGAGATCTAAATGGAAGCCAAGTTCAATGGTCAGTTCTGAAATTAATTTATAATTAACAATACATATCTGTATATAACATATCATATCTCCTTATAACTATTGTAGCCTAAGGTCTGATTTGGCGACTTTTCATAAACCTTCCAACGGATTTATTATGTTCGATCGCTAGTTTCTATGAACAATCCAAATAATAAATATTTCATGTAGGTATATGAAAACTAGCCAAGATGGTCGTTTCAAACTGAAAATTGAAAGGTGGCAAATGCAACAGAGGTCGGTGCATATAAGTCGGAATTAGGTTACAGCTTTGGTATATTACCTTTTTCTATGTCACCTTTTTATGACAATGGACTTTTGCGAGAAGGACTAGAGAGTGTGGAAGTTTAACCTACATGAAACCACCTCTTATTTTTGGAAGGGCAAAAATAATCAAATCAACGCTTCTACCCGGGGTGGGTCGAAGGCATTGTCAGACTTATACAGGCTAAAAACCATCCCGGTTTTAGTCTGTAAAAGTCCTATTCTTGTTCCGGGCGAGGCCGCGATAAATCCCGCAACAACGGCTAGACATCAGGTCCAGTAGGCCCCGTCTGTGATGGTCAAATGGCTCATGGCTCATGGCGCATAGACGTTTGGAACGAACAATGAATGTCCAAATCGGCAGATAAAGCCTACCTCAACTAGACGTAGATATCACAGATAAATAAATAGAGATAGCTCTAAAACAAAATAAGGAAGATAGTAATTCACGGTAGATAAACGATGAAGTTTTGCATAAATAAATATTTCCTATAAGCCTGTAGGTACCTAATGTTTTATCGGATTGTTGCTAAGGTAGAGGCTCTAAATAGAGCGAATAGGTATGAAAAAAAACCGAGGAAGTATTTTTTATGGGATAGGGCTTCAAAGAAGCTCAGTAAACTATCGGTACTGCCTATGAATACCCCAGAAGAATTGCAAGTTTGTAGATGGCCTTTTAGATGTCATGTATGTGAGAACTAGAGGTTTTTTTTTTATTTATTTGAAAAGGTATAACGTGACAGTGAAACAGTTTTTATTTTCCTTTTATAAGATAAGTTGCTTAGCAATATAGCAGAGCCATTTTACGCAATGAATATTATTTATTTCATAACATTATGAAATAAAAGAATGAATTGCTGACTATGTAAACACGTGAGGACCGATTCGTGTATTAAAAACAAAACATCAATTATTGTGCCAAGTAGGTCAGTACTTACCTAATTTAAAAATGAATGTAAACCTCTTTAATGCCAACATTAACAAAAAACATTAATGAGATTTTGGTAATGGTTCCAAATTTAAAAACAGGTCCCACATTTAAAAAAAGACAAGCTGCTCTCAAACAGCCAGTATTTTAGCAAAGAAGATTCAATTAAGTAAACTAAAACTCTTATATTCCCGTTTAATCAAAAACGTACTTTCCACTACAAAAATTAAGGTTCAAAACTGACCTGAAACACATCGACGGGTTCATCAAATCTTTCCACGTCGTACAATTTCGATTCCTTTTCTTCATACATTTGTCCTTTTATGGAGCATGCCTTAAACACCATAAGGTTTTTGGTCAGAGTGCCTGTTTTGTCAGAAAATAGGACTTCTACTTGGCCTAACTCTTCGTTCAAATCTGATGTGTTGGCTGCCGCTGGTCTACCTGTCTCTTCACAACGAAGATCCTCATCCCAAGCTATGAATAGTGACCCTGGAAACAAGTTTAACTGTCACTAGTATGGTTAAGCCTTTTAATGCCTACAAAACTTTTTTTAAGTATGGGAGAGGTATGCTTCGGCACGAATGCGTCGACTCGACCGGAGTGATATTACGGCCCTACTAAAAACCCGCGTGAAACAACCACAGCATTTTGCTTCGCCGTGTGAGGTTTCCGGAGACCCAATCATTCCCCTCCACCCATAAAATAGGTGTTGCATTCGCGTTCAATGGGCGACGCTGATTGCTTACGATCAGGTAAATAAAAAAATGGGTAGGTGCAATGATATACCTCTATTACCATTCGGCCCAAAAATAAAAATTTTAATAATTCCCTACTGGAGACACTTAGTCTAAATCTAATATACTACAGTTGCAATGAGACCAACCAATTATCAGACACAGAGAAAAATATTGTAATTAATAAACATATTATCAAATAACTTACCAATAAACTTGTACAGCTCAATAGTAACGTAAAGGGACATTGGTATAATATAGTAATAGAGAAGCAAGAAAGAAAACAGATCTTGTAAGATATCGCCGAATGGGGCCGGGATCGGCGACCCAGGACCCAAATACAGATCTCTCTCAGGGTTCCGTCGCTCAATCCATAATTTTGCTACTAAAGATACAACTATTTCGGCAATAAGCAACCCTATGAACCAGAGCAAAGACTGGTTTATCGCTAACTCGCTTGATGAGAATTTGTTCCCTGTGTATTTTGAGTTAAGAGCTAGTTTCGTTTCTTCACCTGAAATAGAAATTAAAGGTAAAGCAGGCAAGTAAATTAGGTTAAATTTTTAATAATTGTCTGAAGTGAAAGTCAAACAATTTACTTTTCGTCGGGGGTCGAACCCACGCTACATGGCAGCTACAATGCGTCGCAGCTTGTTGCCCAGTCAGCGCGTCAACCATCAAAATATTTAATACAAGCTTTTGGCGGCTTCAGTCACAGTACCACGGCAGTAAAAGTAGCCTATGCCTATGAGTTAATTCAGATATGTGATATCTTTATACCAAATTTCATTAGGATGCTTTCAGTACTTTTTACGTGAAAGGGTAACAAATATACATCGAATCATCCATACATACTCGCGATTATTTATTTTTTTAAACTTTACCCTCCCTAGGATTTCACCTGTATCGTGGGTACAAACATACAATCTGTGAGGGAATCGAACCCTCGAGACGTTGAACGGCATCTAGTTGCTCAACCACCGCGCCAACTGAGCAGTCATAACATACGTAAGATTTATATTTTAATCAAAAATAACACCTAAATAAACAGTTTTCTCATTCAAAACATCAAAACTCACCCGTATAAACTGCACAGCCGATAGCCCATTCAGTATTCTTGACCCTGGATCCTCTAAGCATGAGGTGGTCCGGAGTAAGTACTAGACTGTCCTTGTAAGGGATCTCCAGGCGACCATAAAACGTGTATAGATCTGCCACAGGGTGGGGGACCTCAATTTTCATCCCATGAGGTAGGATATCTAAGGGAAAAAGGAGTTTACGACTGAAATATAGTGTGAAAGGGTGCGTTGCTTATGGATTTAAGTTTTTAGAGCCATTTAACGGCCTCACAGAAAACCGGCGTAAAACAATCACACCGTTTTGTTTCGTCGTGTGAGTGGGGTTACCGAAGGCCCAATCCTTCCCCTCCCCAATCTCCAAATCCTTGATACTTAAACGGTCGGCAACTCACGCGTAACTCCTCCGCCGTTGCAGAAGTCCTTAGTCGGCGATGATTGCTTACCATAAGGTAATCCGTTTGCACGTTTGCCGGCCAATCACAAAATTTGCTTTTAAAAAAGCCATCTTTTGTGACGGCCTTCTGAAAACCAGCGTGGCGTAGAACAACTCTTACGTTCTTTTTCAACATGTAAATGACGTTGCCAGAGGTCCAATCCTTAAATCAGGTACTTCATGATCATAATGAGGTAACACATTTGGGAATTCTGTGGTGTTAATGGTCGCTTACCATCGAGTGATCGACCTGCTCGTTTGCTCACATACCCCATAAAAATATAGTACTAAATGCTATTTTGTTTATAAGTAATCAAGTAAATATACATTCTTATAGTTACTATGTCTATATCCTTTAGTTACCATAGCTAATCGCCATACGGATTTTTATTTTTGATGGCCATACGGATTTTTGTTTTTAATTCTTAGAAGGGTGCGTGAACCAAAACCTTGTCAAGGCAGTTTATCATAAACAATTATAGCATCACAAACAAAACAATCCTATAATAACAGTTTTTCCGACTTAGGATTCGACCCTGAAACTATCTGATATATCAAATTAACTTCTGAACTTAAGCAGAAGTCCAATTTTCATTTTATTAAAATTAATTTTCATAACCCTTAACTACCTGACCCCTATATCAGTTCAACAGATTAAAATATCTCAAATTTTGTTCACACAACCAATAGAGAATATTTACTTACTTTATAATCTTTTTAATTACTCTACGCTCAAACAAAGCGGTCGTGTAAGGATGACAGACAAAAAGTGAGTTTGCGGAGATGCGAAGATCACAAAAATAAAAGCACTAAGGACATCACAAATACCTTTATTGCCACAGTCAACGACATCAGACGGTTAACAATAAAATGACTTATCTTACATTCAAATGACAAATGATATCAGACTTTATTTCAATGATTTCAAGGTACATAAGACTAGATTCCTGAAAGGTTAATCTACGTATTTCAATATAATTTTTTATTATATAATGGATTTAACTTTGTTAAAACTATTTTTAGCACATGAAAATAAATAGATTTTGAGTTATATAATAACTATGTACATATAATAGAATTGATTAATAATCTTTGGCGTAAAATATCACATGCTTTCTTTGCGACGCATCAGTCGTAACACCATAAATAAAAATTAAACAGCAATAAACACTATCCCTCAAACAAATAAAGGCGAAAGTACAACGTCGGAGACATATAGTATATAAATAATATAAAACACACACACTCGTTCTCGTTATGCCGTAAAAATACTTTAAAATTTATAATTGGAATGTAAACGAATGAGAGCAAATAATTGCACATTCGAACAATAATGATTCTACTGTATTAACAAACACATGGCTTCAAAGCTTCATGGGAGAATAATGACCAACGCACACAAAATGACACACCAAAGACAATAAACTCAAATACCTGGAGTAAAGCCAACTAAAGGAGGTGGTACTCTTAAAGTCTTCAAATTGGTCTCCCCATCCAAATTAGCTGTAGTGACGTAACACTTTCCCTTATCTCCGGCAGAACAGAGGAGTACCAAGTCCGCTGGTACCTCCTTCCCTCTCCGCACTCGCACCAGAGTGCCAGGCGCGATTGAGGAGTTCCGCACCTCATTGATGACGCCTTTGTGGACTATTTCAACTGTTGGACAAAACGGGGTTTTTGAGAAAACAGTGAAAATTTATGGAGTAAATGTATTAAAAACAATTGGTAAGCAAAAGGGTTTTATTGAAATCATTTTTCTAAATTAATAAACAAACGTTGATGTGTATTATCAATTTGTTGTTAACGTTAATGTTTCTAGTACATCCAAACTATTAATATTATAAACGCGAAAGTAACTGTCTGTCTGACTTTTTTTCACGCTTAAACTACTGAATCGATTTTTTGAAATTTGGTACAGACATAGTTTGGAACTCGAGAAAGGACATAGGATAGTTTCTACGCCAAAAATCTGCAGGAAGTCACTATTCCACGCGAACGAAGTCGCGAGCAAAAGCTAGTGTTGTCATAACGGCAATAAAAAACTGCATCATCTGTCCACAATTGTCTATTATCACAGTTTATGAGATACAGCCTGACAGTCAGACACAAGACGGACGGATGGTAAAAGTATTTTGACTAGGAAAAAAATAACTAACAGACACTTCTAACTTTTTACCGACGTGAATTAGGAAATATTCCTCGCCAATTTATATAGATAAATGTTTCATATATTTTGATTAGATAAGAATTCATATTAATAAAACTGATAAATATCACACTTTTATTTTGCAAATATTTACATTAATAGATATTTCTCCAAGTTTTCAATTACAAGATTTATAAGTGTTTCGCACAGATTATAAAACAAAAGACAGATGGACCAATATCACAGAACAATCATATATGAAATACCTAGGTACCTACTATAAGATAATTTAGTTATGACTCGTTCTCCGGTCAAATTTATTGGTCATAAAGTACAAACCAATCAAAAAGTGAGACCAACAAAACATTATTATCGAAATATTTTTTAAATCGATAATCCTGGCAAATTACCCAACTTAAGGGTAAAAGATTTCAAAGTAAACTAGCAACACCGATCGATGTTTGTTAAGGTTTTGTGTTCCAAGAGTTCACTAAAAATAATTACGTACAATTTTATCCAAATAGATAAACAATCAATATTTATCAATGAAAAGATACTTCCTATTTATTTTAATTTTAGGAACAATTTTTACAATATTTGAGAAAATTTATAGAATGAGGCGGAAATCCATGACATTAAATGTTAGGAAAAATATTTAGTTATTATTCCGCGACAAAATCCAGGCTAGTTGCAGGATGCAACATTCAACAATCAACAAACAATTCTTTATCCGAAAGTAAAATATGGACAGTGACGTAAAAGAATTTATAAGATTGGGTTTAGATTGGGAGAATCCCAATCTTCACACACTACCGAATTATCTAGTTATCAATATTTGGTTATAAAAAGGATTTACCAGTGAGATCATAAACCGTATCTTATTTGCAAACCTCTGTACGAAACCAATATCAGTATCAATGAACTCACAGATGAGTTTGTATATATTTTTATATTCATACAAAATAAAGCCATAGAATCTAATAAATATGCCTGAGTGATCCGTAAATACCAATAAATATTTTTGTGTAATAACTGTAATATATTAGAGAATGCATATAAATATCAAAATACCAATTTTTGCTACGATGTATATTGTTATGTATATATCTACTAATTTAATAACTATATTTTCAAAGAGGGTTCGGGTTGGAAACCTGGCAAGCACCAATGTCACTTTTTCCGAGTTATATGTACTTTCTATGATTATTTAGACACTACTGACAAACGGTGAAGTTAAACATCGTGGGGAAACCTAGACTTATAATTACTAACTATAAGTTTAAAAAAAAATGGCGTGACGATCTAGACGCCTATCGTCGAGACTGGTGAACACGGTCGAAGGATCGGGAGGTGTGCAAGCGAGCTGGGGAGGCCTTTGCCCAGCAGTGGGACATTACAGGCTAGTAAAAAAAAAGTTTGAAATCGCCAATTCGCCTTGAGCAAGCGTGGTGATTAACGCTCAAACCTTCTCCATATAAGGCCTTTGCTCAGCAGTGGACATTCATAGGTTGTTGATGTTGATGTTGTTGAAATTTTCAAAAAAAAAAAGAAAAGCAGGTACTTAGTCATAGGAACAAAATGTAATCAAACATTTGATTAGCACCAACGCGGAACTTGAAAAACTTTCACAACACAATCGAAGATTGCTTTCAAGGAATGACAAATCATTAATTGAACTAAACCGGAATGGGCGAGTGATAAGATAATTTAGCTCTTAAGTACTTGAGGTAAAGTAACATTATTGTTTAACTACGTCACCGTCAAAGTAATTCTATGCCAAATGCTAACTAGACAAAGACATATTATGCTGAATAAGAAAAGTCTGGATGACTGCATGTCTGGGTAGGCGTAATGTCTGGTCAATTGGTTGTTGAGTAACGTGTCGCGGGTTCGATTCTCGCACTCACAACTGTTTGTGGGTTGCACAATCTGTTGTTACGGGTAGATGTCATGTATAAAAGAAATTGGACGTGTATAGGATATCATGTGGCAACATATAAAAAAAACAATTGACATTCGACGTTTTAATTTTTATAACACAAAATATTTAAATAAATGCTTCATATTTTACTATAGAGAAATTATAAATACTACCTAAGTTCATTAAACTGTGCGTACTAAAATTAACTAGTTTCGTAATACAATAGAAACACGTAATGTATGAATCAATAGTGACCATGAGAATGGACTAACACCTTATCGACAATGCCCTGCCTATGCGGTTTACAGAAAACTGCTGAAGTGTCAACTGATAGAATAACCAACTCATGACAAGATAGCGGTGTTATATTCAAGGTTTTTGCTAGGGATTGCATATTATTTTATACGCTTCATTTGTTTGTTTCATATTTTTTGCTTTGAGGAGTAACGTAATAATTTATTAAGTTCCAGGGCTGAACTTTTTTTTTTAATTCATAATTTAACAAAACCATCTAATTTAATAATTTATTTTTTTATTTATTTTTTATATAAAATTGCATATCGGAGGGCTTTATGCTAGGAGCATTTTCTGCCAGTCAACCTTTTGTTACTGGGGTAAGCGCAATGAGGCACCGCGACCTCGGCACAGAGCAGGAGAAGGAACAGGGGGGTTTTTAGTCAGTAAGAGTCTGACAATCCCTCCTGCCCAGAAGTCATTTGATGATTTTCCCCTCACAAAAAAAAACCTGTTACTGCAGAGATGTGTGGTAGGTGAGATGCAGCAATTTCATAATGCAATTTCAAATTTCAAAATGCAATAGTAGCTAATGATGTGATAGTGGCATTGACCATCGGTGGTTTTATTGACATAAAAATCTCACACCCCTCTTTCTCGCCTTTCTCCGTAAAAAAGGCGCTGTTTACAGGTCAATTGCCCTGTCATCAAAAAAAGACATGTTCTATGAAGAAATCTAAGGACCACTTTGACCTTAGTCTTTATGTAAAACATTATTCGACTAATGTTATAAATGTGAGTTTGTGAGAATGTATAGATGTATTCTGTTATGTGTATATTCTTTAACGCAAAAATGGCAAAACCGATTTGGTTGTGATGTAGTTAGGTGATACCGACCCTGGAGTAACACATAGGCTGATTTTTATCAACATACCTCGCGGATGGGCATTAGTATACTTAATATACCTAATGTTTTCATCTTTACCATCCTACTTGCTGGTTACGACTACAGACCTATTAGATCTTCTAAGAACAGACGTACCTATCTTTTTACAATACTACTTTTTACAATAGTACTTATCAAAATAAACTTAAAAACGCACAAAACTAAAAAAGCCACGCTGTTTAAAAAAAACAATTTAGATGCCTTAAGTGCAAAAAGTTAAATTACTCAAACAAAACCATAACATATTGACATAAAGTCGAAAATGCAGTAATATAAGTATAGATTAAAATGGTGTTTTGGACCGTTATCAGTATGACTTACCTATCTGGTTGTTGACCTTGTTGTCAGCCTTGTGCCTTAGCCAATCTTCATAGCCTTGCTTCACAGCTGTTACCAGCACTACGAAGCTTAGGGGAAGAATACTTGTAAACGGTGACACTGGACTGTCTGTGGAAAAGAAAATATTATTTGAATAACTTGAATGACAATAGAAGAAGAGGCCGGCTCGGTCGAGGTTACACTAGGTTTATAGAATTCATTTAATTGTCTTTTACTGTGTGATTGAGACCCAATTCCGTACCTCCCATCTCAAATCTTTACTGGCACCAATAGCTTACCATCAGGTAATCTGTCGGCTCGTTTACCAACCGGTGGAAGAAAACGATTAGGGGACTAGTCTTTTTAGAATGTTCAGAAAAAATCTCCACTTTTTAACGGATGTTACTATACATTATGATGTAGTATAATAATACGCCATTGACTTTACATTTAAACCTTCATCTTCAATCACTCTACCTATTAAAAAAAAACTGCATCAAAATCCGTTGCGTGTAGTGACATAGGAACAGAGAAAGCGACTTTGGTTTCATATTAAGTAGTAAAGATATTCAAAAAGATATAACAAATATCCAAAACCAAGCCTTCAAAAGTTATTTATTTAGTAGGTATCAAACGATAATTCTAAACTGTAAATTATCCATTCTCATCAATCGACAATTTTCAGTTCAGACTAAGTACTGTAATTCTAATTAATAACTAACAATGTATAATTACGTGTAATATCTAACAATTAACATTTTAGCTATTTATAAGCACTTGCCTAAGTAATAAACGATAATGTGAAGAGATATACAAACTATAAGTGGTCAATTGATGTAGGTACATTTCCTAGAGAGATAACGATTGTAGGTAATTGAATAGATTGGTTCTATAGGGCTTGTTATATTGCTAATAATAATCAATACATATAGTTAATACCCAGACTTAGATATATCTAGAACAAACGTAATTGGAGAAGCAAATAGACGTGTGTACTAAAAAAATATAACTAACCAGAAACTGACAGGTATTTTTTTAAGTATCTACTTATTTAAGAGCTATTCTCCTAGCACCGGCATCGGGGATCGAGAGGTGATTAGGCCAGAGATCTCAGGCTAACATAAACGCAGGTCACCATAGATTGGGTCCTACAGGACCGATGTTCAGCCAGGGTGGCGGGTCTAGCGCAATAACTTACCGTGGCCTTGGCCTAGATCAGGAGAAGGAACGCCAGGGTTTTAGTCAGTAAGAGTCTGACTCCCCGTCTAGCCTCAATCTGGGCGGGAGAAGACAATTGATGATTTCAACTCACAAGAAAAAACCGAAACTACGAACCGATGAGGATATATATTTTTATGCATCGATAAGTTAATTACTTATTTAAATCTGTGGTGGTTTAATTTTCTTCAATTTATTTACGAGTAATATTCAACAAATTTTCACGTATTTAAATGGTCAACATTATTTTTATGTAACGCACAACAAACATAATTGAAACTAGAAATAAAAAGCAACAATAAAACATCGCGAATGTTCTCCAAAAACCATACAACCACATCGACTAACGACTCTTCCCAATTGGACAAGATCACCTGACAACAAAACCAACAGTCATCAGTTCATCAGTAGCGCTATCACCTATCAAAAAATGTCCACAAATGTAAACGATAAACACGAGATAAACATTTTAGCAGCGAACAGGTCAATCACAATAAGCTGTGGTAAGCACAGCTACCAAAATATCTTATAAAATTCAAAGGCAAAAATGTATCGAATGTATCGGATAAGATAAGAACAAATATTATAAATCTAAATACTTAATATTATGTACATGGTACTTAGCACATGGGGCTTTATTTATCGTTATTATCTATTGATTAGTAGATACGTTACATTACCTACTAAAATAGTAATGTTTCGTTTCACGTATATACTACGTACATAGATAGGTAAAAATACAGAATTCTTTTGATTCAGTGTTATCATTTTTTGGCAATATTTTCCTGCTTTACCACGTGCGCTTGATAGATACGTGACTGGGTTTTTCTAGGCCTATAGAACATAATATTTTCATTGTTGAGATACCTGTTTCACTGCTTACCCATTCAAGTTTACCAACTGATTGTCAGAGACACATGTTCGTCATAACACGTAAACCAGAAGAAAATTCTTTCTTCTGGTTTTATTCGCCAAAGAACACAATAGTTGCTTCATAAGTGGGGAGAGACATGCTTTGGGACGTATAAATCGGCGTGAAACAACCACAGCGTTGTGTTTCGCCGTGTGGGTTAGGTTGCCGGATGCCCAATCTTACCTCTCCCCCAATCCCAAAATCTCCAAAATCCCTAAACCTCAAAAGGTTGGCAATGTACTCGCAACTCCTTGCCATCAGGTAATTGATATGCTCGTTTGCCGACCTACCACATAAAAAACCTCGCATGAAAACTCTACATATATCTAAGTATGCAAAATGCCATCGTAATCAGGTTAGACACATTTCTTTACATTAAGCAACATCGTTTTCCAAAGTAATAAATCAGCATAACGCAGATATGTCAATCATCAGCATACTTTATTATGTATGTTTAGAAGGATGGCAGACGATAACGGCTATAAAGATATATTTTCTGATAGCATTCTTGTTAGTGCGGATATCCTGAAATTAATCCTAAGTTTGGTATTCAAGATGGCGCCTGTTCTTTCGATGGAACGTGTAGAAGTTGCTGACAGTGACTCATAGTTGAATAAGGCCAATTAATCCATATGTGATAAAGTCAATACTTTTTTATCGTCATGCAGTGAGCGAGTAGGTACCATTTCAAAATCACTAAGGTTCATATCTTACAGGTCGGCAAATGATCAGTCATTACCTGGTGGTAAGCAATCAACGCCGCCCATGGATAGTCGTAATACCAAAGGAGTTACTACAAGTGCGTTGCCGGCCTCTTGTGGGTTATTAAGGATTTGAGGATTGTGTATGGAGGAGAAGGATTGGACCTCGGAATATTATAGGTTAGATAGAATTTTCAGATTCTTGGGCTTCTGGCTAGCCATATTTTTTTTTTTTATTTTTTTTTAAACTTTAGGATTTTCTCCTGTGTCGTGGGTGCAGTTACAAACATACAATTTCACATACACATGACACCCAGACCCGGAACAACAATTTGTGGATCACACAAAGAGTTGTTCCGTGCGGGAATCGAACCCGCGACACGTTGCACGGCAGCCAGTTGCCAGGCCACCGCACCAATCGTGCAGTCAATTACTGTCATGGAGATCGAGTTTTGAGTGCAATCAGTTACAATTTGGAGGTCAAATCAAAAGGTGTATGCATTAGAACCAAAATGTGGATAGTACTAGCTGCTCTGGCGAAAACGACCTTGTAGTGGCTATTTTAATAGATGCGCGCATTGAATAACGTTTATCAATTATGCATTTATATCTATATTATTTATTATTTCTCATAAGAAATAACATAGTCGTGTGCAGTCTGCCAGAATGACAGTGCAAATAAATCTAGGAAGCGATCACGAAACATTTGTAATGAAAGACTAAAGAAAAATTATTTCTCAGTAAATTATAGTTTCCGACTTTGATCGCGAATCGCTGAGCTTAATAGGCATTGCGAATATCGATTACCCACCCAACTACGAAACGGAAAAGCTTATACAGGAGTTTCAATACAAAATTGTGTTACTCATAGTTTTATTAAATAATTTACCTAAGGTAATTTACATTATACAACACATTAAAATTGTGTTTTGGAGCACTGTAATCGTAACCGAAGCTATCGGATGAATTGCTATTCGTTAGTTTCACTAAAACTCGAGATCGGCGGGTCCGTTTTGGACAATTTTATTCTTAAAATATTCGTTACAGTCCAGGGAAGGTTTAAAATGTTAAAAAAAATTGTTAAATTTGAGGCGGAACCAAGTTTGCCGAGTTAGCTAGTCCGAAATAAATATCTATATATTTGTTACCATAACCGCGTCAACAACTTTTGCAACACTCGCACGCCATCTTAATATTAGTTGTTTGTCATTTCAAGTCACAAGAAACCCTTTATTCTTTTTTATTATACTTATAGCTAATATCCGTAACCGAAACTATCTAAAACTAACTAATAATCTGTACATCCGTGTAAAAAAATACCGTTCATAATAATCATCCGAAATATGTTATGATATCCATAACATTCGTGAATAAAACTTAAGGGTTCATTAGAAGAGCACTTAAAATAACACCCACCTTTAACTTTATTATTTTGTAACCAATACTTGCTAATATAATAAAACTCAAGTATTTGTGTGTTTAAATGCTCTAACCTCCGGAACGACTGGTTCGAATAAGCAAATAACAATTCTTTGTGTTTTGGATACTTCATTATAGGTCTACTACCAAGAGAGCCAAACACGGTGAAACCGCCGGATAGTAAGTAGTTAATTTTGGAATAATATCGAAACACAGTTATGTATCACAGGATACAGCTTAGTAGATAAAATCATAGAACTTAGGCAAGTTATTGTAACTTGATTTGCTGGCTCGTACTACTCAGTAACATCTAATATGAAGAAACATTTTTATTATAGGTATCGGGTAATTTCTACAAAGCTAATCTAATATTGATATAAGTAAATTAACATGGGCCGATATTGATTAATTGTTATATGATAACGAAAAACGTGAGTAGAATATAATAACAACTCTTAAATTGACGCATTAATTCATCAAACCCCAGGAGAACGCTGGCGTTTGCGCACTTATTGTTCTTAATTACCACGATTAAAAGGTTAGTCAAAATGTATTCGGATGGGACTGCTAGGTTTTAAGCATTTCTTTGGTATTCTTTGCCTTGAAGAGAACAACAGATTCTTCTACCGTGTCTTAAAGCGTATTTTCGTCTAAGGAGTGTCTAATTTAAAGTCGAGAACGTTACCGTGTTTAGCCCTCTGATTGGTTCGGTAGCTTGGAGCAGGCCAATCAAAACATCGAACGAATCGAACGTAAAAAAGGCGCTCAGCAGTGCTATTCTGTAAATGGTAAATCGCCTCGAAACCCATTTCGAAAGTCACACACCACTTCGCTTCTCATCTCGCCTGTACACAAACGTCAAAATACTCACTTGTTTTAGTTCCTTTCACTTCGTTATTCACATGGTGGCGCCAATGTAGATTTCACTTCATTTGAGAATACAAAACTTTAAATAAACATGGGATTCAGAAGTGATTTCGCAAATTATCTTTTGAGAATAGCATAGGAGGACTCAAAGGAGATTATGAGGAGTCCTCTGAGATTTTTTTAGCAAATATCATAATTTTATTTAACTTTTTGTAATAGGTATATTAGGTTGAAGTGTACTTAATAACCCATAATAAAGGCTTAAATAATAACTATGATAGAACAAAACTGAGAAAAACAAATGAACAGACCAGAATACGCAACAGCCTTGTTAGCACTTTCAAAACACTATAATTTAAATAATGTCAACTCATAACCAGAGAAGACGGAAAGGTGCAAATAGTCCCACGTTTTTTCTTCGACCTAAAATATAAATTATTCAAACAACACTACTCTGAACGGTAACATCTAATTTAGAACAGAAGCCGTTTATTTTGTGGGCGAATAAATTATTATGAAGAAGTCAACCGTTGGAATTGAAAAAGTTATTGCTTTACTTTATCCCGATTCGAATCCGTGAAAATACAGGAATAGAGAACTCGGACAGAATTCGGATTATCCTTAAAAGAAATCTAGTGGTGGTATAAGTACGTCATATTTTACGGATTCGAATCATTCGGATAGGACGTAGGTAGTGCGGAAGAGCTTTAACAATGATACGACTTTTATTCTTTTGCAGATATGCTGAAAATTTGGTATTTTAACATATTATAAGATATTTCCTCGTATTTTTCTATTTTATTCCTACTATTTGGTAGTCTGTATTAGGAACAATTTTGAACCTTACAACACGGTGTATTACAAAATATTACGGCCAAAGAAAGCCAGTAGAATATGACTTGATCCTGTAGCTCGCACAACGATTTCACAGTTTAACTTGATTGGAAACAAAGAATTCTAAGCATCCCGTCGTCAGCGAAATACAGGTTACATATAGTGTGAAGGTGTTTTTAGCCTAGAATAACTGACTTTCTTTAGACCGTAAGTTCGTCCTAAAAGAGTAATCAAAGGAACAAAAGAAGGAAGTACTCACCAATCACAATAGAGATGATGGTAACTATCAAGAAGTAAAAGTTGACAATTCTCCGAAACTGTTCCGATAAATTCTTTGGCAGGAACCAGAGGAGCGTATACTTTGAAGTCTTGATTTTGTTGTGTTTCTTCTTCTCGCCTTCCACGGGGGAGCCGACGTCGATCTGTCGCGTCTGCGTCGTCGCTGATACTTTGTTGCCCTGTACAATAGGATAAAAGAATTTAAAAAAATGTCAAGTAATATAGCCCTTTTATTAACTCATAGAATTTGAGAACACGTTAATGGCAACAGGAAGTTGTAGATGTGGACGAAAACCGACAAATTATTAAGATAATAGCTTTTTATGGTCTCGTGAGCAAAGTAGCATATCGATATTCTCTTGTGGCACCGCGGATTCGGCCTAAAGCAGGAGAAGGGACGGGGTTTTTTAGTCAGAATGATTCTGACACTCTTGCCTTACCTTGGGCGGGAGAAGTCATTTGATGCTACGCCCTGATAAAAAAATATCCTTTGATGGAAAGTAAGCAACACCATCCATTAGGACATGGTTTAGTGGTGGTTTACAAAATTGAACGTAAACTAACATTATTGGCGATGGAAATGGTATACAAAGTTCATCTCTTTTCTGTTGACTATAATGATGTCTGGTTCTGACTGTACAAAAATCATAAAATTGAGGATACCTAAGTGGTTTAATGTAGATTAGCTTAACAATGAAGGAAAAATGTACAAATACAAGTTAATCGCAATGATGAAAATGCTACAGAAAAGTCATAGTGAAATTATGTAATATACACAAAGCTGCTGACACAAGATCTGATTACAATGTTAATTAATCTACAAACGTGTATATTCACTTAAGCTCGTTTTAAAATCACTATTTTTGGATTAAAAACATGTATAACAGAATAAGTATGATACATGTAACCTATGATCATGACATTGAAAAAAAGAAAGTTAGAAATCAAATGAGGTCAATGAGGAGGTGAGGATAGGACGTCGACAGCTAAAATATGAACTTTGAAAACTTATGTTCCATACATAAATAATTTATTAAAAAATAAAAGTTTTCAGCCCAAAGAAAACTAAATAAAAACCTACAATAATCGTACTAAAACAAAACACTTTTACAGAATACCTACAGACTTACTTTCATTGAACTGTTAATGGGAAACTTTGGTCGAAACTTACAACAATCATGACATATCTACTTATTCAAATAAGTACGTCTTGTGTGACTGTAGAACAACAAACATCCAACTATCCAACCCGTGTAGCTTCACAACTACTATCATTTTCTCTTCACATAACTTGATACTATGACAATCTGATACCTTACTTAAGTTGTCAAAGAAAAAAATACCTTCACTATGTTTAAATATGCATAGTGCCATCACTACCGTGGGACATTACGCGAAATGAAGTGTGAATCCAAGGTCTCTACTTTTTTCTACGATAGAATAATCAATACGATCATACGTGAACTCTGTATCCATAATTTTGTCAATTATTTGTAAGTGCTTTCTAATCTTTGTAACTGTCTTTAGTTTGTGCACTCTCTTTTGTGTCCAGTCCTGTCCAATTAATCTGAATTAACTGGCTTGCTCACTGTGATGTGTACCATCATAATTAATTTCGTAAGATCTACAAGAGTTATTATACCAAACCATTTTTTTCCGTTAATATTTAAGATATGATCCACAAATTGTTGTTTCGGTTCTAGATGTTATGTGTATGTAAAATTCTATGTTTCTAAAAGCACCCACGCCCACGATACAGGAGAAAACATAATGCGAACTTTAAAGAAAAATAGGCAACATGGTTTTCGTCAATCTAGACACGCGGTAGCGTGTCAAGCCAAATTCAAGAAACAGAACTGGCAAGCCGCACCGTTTGTAATATTATTACACGAACCATTTCGAGCCTTTTGACCCCCTCATTTCACATAAACGTATCAAATTTGGCTCATATATTGAGACTTGCGAGATAACTATGTATTCTAAATTTCATAAGCATATCTCAAACGGTTATTTAGATATGAATGTCCAAAATCCTTATTTTTATCATTGACTGACTGACCTATAGATCAATATTCTAACCCAGTTCCAGGTGACCTAGAGGGTTCTTGAAATACAAAACTGACCATTGAACTTGGCATCCATTTAGATCTCACTTCTTTTGTCGTTGAAGTCAATTAACAACCAAGGCATTTATCATATCTAATATTGAACTTGGCTCCCATTTCACATTTATGTTTTTGATTGGATAAAATTATTTACATTATCAGCATTTAGCGATAAAAAGGAATAACTAACTAAGTAAAGTTCTCCATTAACCGCGCTGCGGCCTGCGATGGCGACAAATTTACAATTTCTAAGAATTTCAGGTTGCCTACCTAAATGAATATCATTAAAGGCTATTTTACTCGTAAAGACTTTCTGTAGCCAATTATTCTACTTCACTGCATGGTACAAAACAAAGTCGCTTTTCCTGTCCTTATATCCTTATGTATGCTTAAATCTTGAAAAGTACGCAACGGATTTTGATGCGGCGTCTTTTTATAGTGTCATTGAAGAGGTAGTAAATGTATAATAAGATACATTATATAGTAGATAATTTAGAAGAATTTAGTATCAGCGTTGTACCCGTGCGAAGATGGGGCGTTAGTATATAATAAACGCGAAAGTTTGTAAGTATGGATAAATGTAAGTTAGGTGGATGTTGGTTGCTGTTTAAAAGAAAAAACAGAATGAATCTAAATGAAATTTGGCTCAGAGATAGATAGGGTTGGGATAACACACATTCTATTTTTAATTAATTCATACATACGTAAATGCAGTTTTCGAATTAGTTTCATACATATAATTCTAAACACGAGATAACTAAGGTCCTAATTGATTATATAATGAAAATCCTTTTAGAATCGTAGTTACGCACAAATTCTAAAATGTTCGTGTTTTAACTAGGGCTACATTTGTTAATCATCAACTATTTGACGAAGAACTGAACAAATTTTAATCCAAGCTAGGGCTTCATACTTATGGCTAACTGAATTGAAAACTGAACGAAAATTTTGCTTTATTTAACCCTGTTATAACAATTGTCTATACTAGTAAAATTTGTAAATTTGTATGTAGGGGGTAATCTTTGGAACCGCTGGTCAGATTTCCAAAATTCTTTCACTGATAGATAGCTACAATGTACTGAGTGCTATAGGCTATAAAACATCACGCTCGATCAAATAGAGCCGAGCAGCGGGTGAAATCACGCGAGAGTAGCTAGTAATTAATAAAACCGTGCAGTCATATAATAATATGACCTTCGTTATGCAACTGCAAGCTGGTGCAACATATTTTTAAACATTATATTTAGGCCATTGAACAGTCAAACTGTCGTTATCACATCAGAAGCGTTAGATAACTCAAGTGTTTGATAGCAGTGTAAAAAGCCAAGTTCAAAATTGGGTAAGTACTTTATTGAATAGGTACACATGAAAATCTGATAAAGGAAATAGATATATCTACTGGCTATATTCAGCTTCTATAGACGTTTATATCGTGTGAATATTTTCATAATGACTTATCTAATTTGGTAAGATTTTGCTTAATGTTTCTCTTTGGGTCTATGAAGGTGCACGGGAAGTTTCTTTTATTGGCGAGACAATTCATTTAAGGGATACTCTATGAGCAAATCATCCGAGCTAAATAATTTATAGAGATATTTATACACTACTACTTTTTAACTACATATATGGTGGTACTAGGTACTTGAACGCATCAATTATCAACGAATCTCGAGTTTCTCTCTCGCACTTAAATATTTATTAATGTGAGTACATATCATAATTATTAATAATTTATTATTAATATAGAACAGAGTAGAAAATACGAGGCAAGAATTTAAGTTTCGTAATAAATACAACTAAGTATAATAAACAACCTACCTAAATACTTTGACAATCTGCAAAAATAAAAGATAAAGTGCAAGTAAAAAAATAAAAAAAAATTGCATCTACAAAATAATTCGGCAATAAAATTACCTTCATTTGCTCATCGAATTTTAGTCGAGTTACAACGAAAGAAACTTTTAATGGCTGGCTTTAGGTGGGCGCAACATACTGGCCAGTGTTGACGTGCCATTGGACGGGCATCCAATGTCAGGAGCGGCCGCCACCAACTGCTGCAGCTAATCGTGAGAAGTCTAGCATCTGACAGCAAATTAGCGCTTCCCTCGCCATTGGCTAAAGATTACCCGTCGATTCTTTAAACATATTGGCATAAGACTTTTAATTTTAATAATTATCTAGAATTTTACTAAGTTATAAAAGGATTCTTGTTAATATAATATTGAAAGGCAAGTAAGTATGGGAATTTGTTAGGCAAATACCGAAGTATGCACCATACAATATAGGTACAGTCAGCTCCAAAAGTCGATGAACAGAATCAACTTACCAAAACACCTGTTCACAATAAAACGCCATAAGTTATAGTCGCAACTAGAAAATAAAATAGCCTGTACACCAGAAATTTACAAAAGTCGTTACACACGACTATTTCAAAAGTATCTGTGCACTATAGTATTCCTAAAGTCGCTGTACACCTTCAATCCAAATGTCGCTGAACATCATTGTATCAAAAGTCACTAAACAGCAGTAAAGACAAAATTAGGTTAACAAAGTATATTTTTAATGTTGCCCCGTGTTAATATACTTTTGACGCTTATGTTGTTCAGCTACTTTTGGGACAGTGTTTGCTAGAACTTAATAATGTATGTTAACACGTTAGTATCTACATATTTCAAAACTTATTTACAAATAAATTATATTTTATTGTCAGTAATCATACTAATCTATAATTTATGAAATAACATAAACATAACTCTAATGATCTACGAAGTGATTTTTGTGACGGTACTTGTAATTTACTTCGCGCAAATCTTACAAAACCTACCTTCCTTTAATTTATTATTTTTACCCGACTACGGCACTGCTAAAATTTAAAGAATTCGACATATGACATATCATTTGTTATCGTCTTAATTGTCCGCTGGTTATAAGTTATATGATGTATTACAAAATCTAATGCGGCGTCCTCTAGCGGACAAAACAACCAGAGTAAAAAAACTAAAACCCAACTACGACAAACACCGACGCTAAAAAAAAATGCTGTTTTCTTTCTTATCTTGTTCGGAGGAAACGTT